AGCTCGCACCACTTGCGAGTTTTGCCAGTCGGCTGGGTGTGTAAGTAGCTCAAAAATTTTCGGTATATCGTCAGAGAAATTTCATTTGGTCGTGTTTGGTTTGTGGCTGGATGCCGTGGGCTCTCTTACACACCCACCAATGGGTAGGAGTCTGATAATATGTATGGTTTTTGCACTATATATGGATGATATGTAAGTTTTTACATCATATGTACATCCATGGGTATGGATGAAAAACAGTAAAAATTCAGGCCAAATAACAGCCACATTTGAACATAGTACAATTTTCGCATTTTTGGGTATCGGAATAGAAAAAGATGACAGAAGTGGAAACAGACATTCAGACAGAAGTAGGGATGGAAACAGTGACAGAAACAGTGACAGAATTGGGACAGGTTGGCAGAAATGGTGACAGAAACAGTGACAGAATTGGAACAGGTTGACAGAAATGGTGACAGAAACAGTAGCAATAATTGGGACAAAAATGGTGACAGGAATTGGCACATAAGTAGTGACAGAAACAACCACAGATATGGCAACAGACAAATATAGGCCATGACTCCTGTAATCTACATGATATTTGTGCTCAAATTCTCTGAGCTCTGAGCATTCAAAAGAAGACCTGTGTGAAGTGAATCACATTGCCCAATATCAGAGACTTCAGGATATGCCACCTAAGATTCACATGACAATTTTCAACCTGTGGTGACCGTGATATCTTATTCTGATGGGTATCAGTAATAACATGCCCCAAATCCTGAATGCGCTCTGGGGCCTGCAACACTCAGTTTTATTATATCTGCGGACCATCCAAAATATTTGTGTTTGAGTAATACAGAGGTTATAGTCAAGTACACCCCAGTTTAAACATCTTTGTCAATATCAGATACTCCGGGCTACCCCACCTAAGATTCACATGATCGCCATCCTGTGGGGACCATGCTATCTGACAGTGCTATTGCCCAAGGGAGTGTCATATCCAAAACCCCAGTTTAAACATCTTTGCCAATATCAGATACTCCGGGCTACCCCACCTAAGATTCACATGATCGCCATCCTGTGGGGACCATGCTATCTGACAGTGCTATTGCCCAAGGGAGTGTCATATCCAAAACCCCAGTTTAAACATCTTTGCCAATATCAGATACTCCGGGCTACCTCACCTAAGATTCACATGATCGCCATCCTGTGGGGACCATGCTATCTGACAGTGCTATTGCCCAAGGGAGTGTCATATCCAAAACCCCAGTTTAAACATCTTTGCCAATATCAGATACTCCGGGCTACCTCACCTAAGATTCACATGATCGCCATCCTATGGGGACCATGCTATCTGACAGTGCTATTGCCCAAGGGAGTATCATATCCAAAACTCTAGTTCAAACACCGAACCATATACCCAATATCTACCCATATTGCCTAACATGAGATACTCCAGGCCACCCCACTGGAGAATTATCAAAAGCCATAGTTCAAATACCCAACATTAGATATACCACATCCAAAGTCCCAGGCCAGGCCTCGGAAAGGCACCAACACAGAGAAGTCCAACCAGCCTCGGAAAGGCATGGTGATACTGGACAAGAAGAAGAAGAAAGAAAAGACCACATCCAAAGTCCCAGGCCAGGCCTCGGAAAGGCACCAACACAGGGAAGTCCAACCAGCCTCAGAGAGGCATGGTGATACTGGACAAGAAGAAGAAAGAAAAAGACCACATCCAAAGTCCCAGGCCAGGCCTCAGAAAGGCACCAACACAGGGAAGTCCAACCAGCCTCAGAGAGGCATGGTGATACTGGATAAGAAGAATAAATATAATATTCTAGATACAAATCTAAGAAAAGAAGAACTTTGTCAAGTAAATGACAGTAAAAGAAGAGAACAGACAGAGAAAAGATTTGGTTCAAGTTCGCTTTTTTCGCTTATGTCAGCAGTGCCAAACAAAGCCACACATTATTACAATTTTCGCATTTTTGTCTATATCAATGGTAAGTCATTGAAGTCACTGTAGTCACTGTAAGCCATCAAAGTCACTGTAGTCACTGTAAGCCATCAAAATCACTGTAGTCACTGTAAGTCATTGAAGTCACTGTAGTCACTGTAAGTCATCCCAGTTGCTGTAGTCATCGTGGTCATGGTAGTCATGATTCCGCAAGCAGCTTTGTCATGGAAAGGAGCTTCTCCTTGCCATTTTACAAAGAACATGCTTTAATTCTGTGTGATAGTACTCAAGTGGCTTTAGAAAAATTTCCATGCCAAACCACCACACTAAGACTAGTGTGCACTGAGCTACGCTCTCGCTACTACTTCCGTTGTGGTTTGAACTGTATCATAAAGCCATACTAAATGCGTGCATACCACACATATTCCATAATTTGGCTATAACTCATTGTTTTTGAAAGATATGGGTTGTGCCCTTCTACATGCTGTTCTATCCACATGACTGCCTCGTACATCGCTGGGCGGAGGGACAAAACTATACATGACTGATATGCTATTTGACAGCCTTTTGTATTTGCAACAACAACTGTGTAGTGTCATCCTTGGACCTTGCCGCTGTTCAAGCTTCTGTAAATAATATAAGAGCCTATGCCTATTATATATGTATGATGCATTGATGTGTATATTCTAATATTCTAATATATATAAGCACGGAGTGTTTGATCCTGCAGAACCAATTGGTGTCTACCCCATGTGCGTGCTCCAGCTTGGATGAATGTAGTCGTAGTACAAGCATCTATTACTGTAATTGACGATAGGAAACATCCGAAGGTGATCGGAGCACTTGTACAATGATATAATGTCAAAAAGTACTAGGACAAATGGAAACTGCCAACTCCTTCTTTCATTGCAATGCATAATTTCTCTCGCATCACTGCTTTTGAACTATACTCCGGTAGCTTCAGGTAATTGATGCAGGTCATTACACTTGGCAGGTAATCATCTGCCACAAGTGGTGGTTCATGTGGTTTGCGAATGACAGTGAGTGGAGGGTTAAGACCACGGAACCCTTTGAACACAGTGTCAGCCAGTCTTGAGATGAAATGTAATGAAACACACCTCCAATAGGAAGTTTCGGGCTTGGAAGCCATGGTCGGCTTTGATAGCTTCATTCAACGCTACAGTCTTATTGTCAGTCAGGTTGACACCAGTACAAAAATTCACGTACTCTCAACTCCCCAGTCTTCATCTGAGTTACCAGATAACATGACCAACTCGTCCGCCGAGAACGCCTGTAAATCAGAAATTGGGAACACCTTTGAGAAGCCCTCTCGGAATGCCTTGGCCTGTGGCTGAACGCCAGTGCCAATAATTGCATCCAGGACCTCGTGAATGTATTCTTCTGCATTTTCCAAAGTCACAGGAATGTTACGTCTGCCAGGCTATAACATGCATTATGACCCACTTGAACAATGACAACAAGATGAGACTCACCCAAAGCTCGATGCTGTATCTGGGAACTGTGAAATCAAGCGCAAGATCCTCGACATTGACAATATCCATTAATGCAACCTTGTGGAAGAGCTAGATATCGTGGAGGTAAGAAAACTTCTAGTCATGACGTAGTAAATCAGCCAGAATACCTTCTCACTCTGCCCTTTCATGGATGCATAGCTCTGGCATTTGGAGAGAGAGCTGGCAAGTTCATCAACAGTGACATTCTTTGGGAAGGTGAAGACTTTTCGGCGCTGACCCTGTGATATACCAGAAGAAATTGATGATGTAGAATGGGTCCTATCACATAGCGTGTTCTTGAATACGATGGCTTCTGTGACTGAGTTGAAGACCATATCATCGGGCAGGTCCTCGGGGTGGATACCAAGCTGCAACGTGAAGCGGTACGAGGGAGAGCTGAAACGATCAGGAGTCACATTGACACTGCTCACTGAATGCTAACATTCCGGACAGTCCTCTGGTCGACATCAACCCCGTAATTCTGAGATGCAAGTAATCATTCAATGCTTGGAATGTTGCAATGGCATGAATAGAAACCACCATGTTCTGGAGGTTGTGAGGAATGTCAGACTCATTATCTGCAACTAGACGAAGACGAAGTTGTTGGGCAAGGAGAGATGGTGAACTTCGCTTTGAATCTACCGCACGTTGAGTTTGACACAGAAAGGAGAAGATCAGTCAAGGAAGGATGGTCTCAGTACGACCTACCCTTCGAAACAAGTTCCTTTGAAATACATGAGAGATCAAATGTACTTCGTATCCGTTCCTCGACAGCGTCACAAAGATTTTTTGACAAAGCTTGTACGAGCGTTGAGAGTACACATAAGTTGTGTGCTGTCTGTAACGAGGATGCCAATAGTGATTGATCCTTAAAATTAAAATTCATATTAATGATTCACGCCAGAACATAGAATGACAAACCAAACTGGAGAGACCGGTTATGATCATGGATTCCATCTCACGCGTGACCTTGCATCGCGCTTCTTTGATAAATGGTACGTGAGCTACTGTCACCTTCACAGATCAAAGGGGGACCAGTGCATTCATCGTTGGGGTAGTCCTATGGCCAGTTTCTGGCAAGCAATTCTTGAGGGTATCCCCAGTATCTTCAGGTCCATCCAACAAGGCGCCTTGACAAAAATTAAACACTACCTGTGAGGTAATAAATAAGCGAACCTAGCTCTGCTATTGTCAATGCCGCTTTGGCAATAATGTACTCCTTGTCATCTTGCTGATCTGCGAATAGGCAGTTTAAATTGTCAAGTTTCTTTTCAGCGGTGCTTGGCTTGTCAAATGCAGCGAACTCGGTCATTTGAGTATCCAGACATCATGAGAGCACGATGAAACGTAAAATATGCTGCAACGCATCTGAGGCTTGGCGGGTGCGTTAAAGCCTAATGGTGCTCGTTTCCAAGGTTTGATATGGAACACGAATTTTCTCGTGAAGTCTGATTCGGTCGCGTAAGTTGCGACATAATGACAGAACATAGCCACTGCTCAGTGAAGTAACTCTTCATGGTGAGTAGTAACCTGAAATCAATATGTGATCAAAAGCATCTCAGTGTGACAATATAATTACATACCAGGCTTTTGATTTGCTTTCCAACATTCTCGATGCTCGAGTCCAGCTTGGATATTGTGACCGATATATCGTCCTTGGAGGCTGCCCCCATTCCGGGCTTTGTGAATTGTGTTTGGTGCTGTGGATACAGTTCGCCAGCAAGAATGGTGTTGGCGTAATCATTGATATCAAAATCATCAATCACGAACGATGAATAGTCTAGCATGGTTTAGCATTAGACAAGATATCCAAGAGAAAAGTACTTACCCATCATCGAGATATGGATCAAGACGAGCACATTCAAATACTGCGCAAACAAGATTTTAACAATCCTGAAGACAATGTTAGTGTTTAAACACGACTCGAAAATAGTTTGAATTTAGAACTGACGGAGTCAGATAAATATGTTCATGGTACGAGCACAAGCAGTAGAAGCTGACTAAGGTGACAAACAATGACCTAAGTAGTGAACACCGATTCGAAATAGCTGGACCGGATTGAATAACATTTGTCAGCAACAGGAACCAGTGGCAGTGTGGCACCATGCTGCAATATTTGCAGTGCCTGTTTGGGTGCATTCTTGCTGGACTCATCTGTGCATATTGATTTGGTGGTCGTGTGACCATATACTCCAGATGCAGCTCATGAATTTGTGAGATGAAATCTATTCTAATTCACCTGTTTTTCACATTTCAAAGCTTCTGAGATAAAATGGATATATATATATGTATGGTATGATACGTCGGAACGGACTTCTCATTGCATGTGAGATACACTTACTTACACCTACAAGTTATGTTGTTGTAGGGTATCATCCTGCTTCACCTCACACTCATGTTGCAAGAAGTCGTTTTGGTGACTGGCTGTTCAAAAGTCACTTGTAAGTCTGTTATCTTAAACTCTTCCTACTTCAGGTTCAAACTTATGATAACCATAACAGATGCGAGTGTTTTGTGGAGTGGGGATGGGACCAAGGGAGCAATATTTGCGACGTGTCGGATTTTCATCTGATTGGCTTCAAAGGGGCTAGATTACTTAAATAAACAAAGCATTTGAACTGCCAGAAATTTCATGGTGTCTGCAAAACTGAGTTGATGTATAGTAGTATGCTGACTCGGACTCGGAGTACATGGTTTATTGTGTGGTGTTTTGTGTGTGTTGCACAAGGCATATCTGATCAAAACATAAGGTAATAGTAATGGAATCCTTAATCATAAATTGTGCAGTCTTTTTACTAACACTACACTGTGAAATAGTTAGAATCTGACCGCGATAATCGCCATCTAGAATGAGACATTCTTGGTTTTTTTTCGTGGAGGAGCTGGACTCAGATCCCTGGCTGGAATATGGTAATGTTCAAGCACAGCACCTGCACGACTGGATGTACAAAATACTGCGATGCAATCTTCGGGTGCAGGCCCATTCACACCGCAGAACGGATCAGGACAGGCTGTTGATACGAATCGTTTGTAGAACTTGGCATGTTTGAAACTCAGTGAGACTGTGAGCATCACATGATATCTCAGGAACAGCGAAGAAAACTCTTTGCTCATGAACCAAGGTAGAGGTCCTGTGATAAAATGAGTAAAAACTGTCGTGATACCTCCGGGGTGAACTCACTGCTCTCTTTGATCTTTTCCATACTGGCATCTATGTTATCCTGGATGTCCTGTGCATCGACAGTCCATGGGTCGGATGTCGATAAGCTAAGATCGACATTCGATGACGGATCGTCTAAATTCGCACTGTCGATATCCTGGCCGAGATTCCAGGTAGTCCAACTGGATGAGGATGGGGTAGGAGTTGTGCCAACAGAATTAGACAAGCTGGAGGGAACTGGGTCAGGAGGAGGTGTTGTGCATCTTCGTGGTTGTGACACCAAGTAAGATCTTTTTCGCATGTCACAAAATGCTATCAAGTCCGATTCTCCTAGCATTATGCTATTTAATCTCATCCCGTACCTGAACAGCAATGAAAATTACTAAATAACTATGATAATGTGCGCGCTGCTCACCTGGTTACAATGTCCTTGCATTTAAGTTTACTGTGCACCTGGCCATTGATAGCAACAGTGCAATTCTCCCCTCCAATGTCATATAAAGTGCCTCGGAAACCCTTCTGGTCACCTCCAACCACAAAAACTTCTTGGCTGATGACCTTGTTGATAGAATCCAAGGATGCCACATTGAGTATTTTCGTCGTAAATTCAATTGGAATGTCAATCTGTTTCAAGTCAGATATGTCCAAGTCAAGTTAATTTCACTTACAAGCGAGTGATCACTCTCAGATAGTAGTATCAGGTGAGCCTTTGGGAAGTCAATGCTCTGGACGATCCCTTTTGCCTGATACTCCGGCCCATGCGCGACCTTCACGACGTCTCCAGGCTTGAGATCATAGCCTTTTTCCTTGGTAAATTTGATTGTTTGGAGTAGGAGCGTCCGCTGAACAAATGCCACAGGAACTCGGATATTTGGAGGTCCTGAATAGTATTCTGTATAATATGAAGTCGACATCTGAGGACTTGAAGACTTCTCCCGGAACCACAGTTGGGTTCCTCCAATAGGAGACCAGGTCACGACGCCCTGCTTCCTGATGTGCTCGCCTAGAAGAACTTCTATGTGGTCCCCAATTTCAATAGATTGAGACTCGAAGGGAGGTTCGAAGTGTTGGCGCAATGGTAGATACGAATGTGTCGTGCAAATCTGATGACGACGATCTATGTAATATCTTGACACTTGTATCTATGCACCGAGCATCAGCTGTAAATTTTTCTATTCACACAAAACATTTACCTCTTCCATAGAGATCCCTTGGCAAACACGAAAGATCTCCTTGTCCATTTCAACAATATGACCTTCTAAGCCCAGGTGTGAACCTGCTACGACTCGAACCACGTCGCCAACCCAAAAAACACGCTCCACATGCTCAAGTCGGGCCTCCAGTTCTTTCCGATGCCCGTCTAAGTTTAATTCAATGCGTGCAGATCCACCAAACCCATGGTCTGTTGACACGACCATGCCAATTTCTGATTGTACTGCTCCTGTGATGATCCTGGCCGCATCTCCTACACGCAAAAACTGCTTTGAGAATGCCGCGATGGATTTCTTGATGAAGGGTGTGTCAAACCCAGACTGCACATGCAGTCTAATGTCATCAGCATGTGGGCAAGCGACAAGTTCTAGTTGGTAGCGGTGGAATTTCCTTAAGAGTAGTCCCCTATAGTATCGCTGTTTTTTGTATGAACATCCTATAATTTCGCCATCGCGAATGATGTCGATAACTTCCTCGTCTTTTGGAAGGTGAGAGCGGTCGAGTAAAGCTTCAGATCTCAAAGGCATTGAGTAGGGAAACTCTCAAACAGCGACTAAGACATCAACAAAAAGATCTGACTGATCGGGGTCAAAGACATAGCCCACGGCACCCTTGTATGTGCCAGATTTGACCCTTACCCACGAAGGGTTGGGAAATTTGTTTGTTGAATGTTCTACTGCAATGCGTTCTTCATCCGAGATGCAATGATAGTCCTTTACTGAAAGTTTATGTGAGGGCGGAAGGGACGATGCGATGGTTTTAGGGCTATCTGAGACCACATAAAGCTGCCCAGGCAGCCAAGGCGATACAGTTACGGGGAATCCTTTACCCTGAAGATGTTCAGCAATATAAACAGCAGCAGTTCCTATGAAGTGATGAGCAACATGGTATACGATGAAATAATTGACATACTATGGACATGCAGCAAATACATTCTACTCTCGAGCGTAGCGGGGGACCAGGCGGCTCTGTAGGAATGGCAGCTTCTTGAGGAGTCAGAGATCTTAGTTGCATTGTTGTAGATGTCATCAATCTTTTTGGACAACGTATCCTTGGCTGACGGTCCTGGAATGACCGTAACCTTCAGCAATCACACAGAAGAGCCTTCCTGATCCTGCTCGTCATTGCCGCCATTGCCATCATCGTTGTCTCCATCATCTGCTTCAATGTCGAGATATATATTCTTCCACTGAAACTGTTTAGTATGCATTCAGCAGAATGTGAAAAATTCACTTACAGGGCGGGGTTGACGGGGTATGTACCTCTTTCTTAAGATCTCAAGGTTTCTCAAACAGGCTCCAATATCGTCTTCACCGGAGAAGAGTGTGATTTTGGCATCGTTCCAATCATCCACAGAGTATCGATCGCCGAGATACAATGAGAGCTTCTCTTCCATCTCACTGTAACTCATCTCGGTTTCTAGGAATTGGGCTAGAATGTGCCATGCGCCTTGATCTGCCAATGGTGATGGCACTGGATGAGAATTGCCTATGTAATATTCATACTTAGCGATGACGAGAATGCCCGGGTATACTATCACGGCTTACCTTCATAATTTCTGTCGCGCATGCGCTTCGAGGCGGGTTCAAGTGCATCATCGCTGCTTGGTGCTGCACATTTACTAGTAGACATTATCCTGAGTACACTAAGTCGTTAATTTCATGCAAGGAAACCAAAACATAACATACTCTGACAAGTCTATTCAAAAGTCTATCCTGTGTTTTACTAGCTATGGGTATCAATGTAGATAGAGTAGAAAGAAGACCTATGAATGTGCATGATCAGCTTTTATAGTGAATGACTAATTGTGGACATACTGAATAATTATGGACGGTGTGGACCGTGCACCACGCCACTGGCAGATGGCGCAAACAATGTTCTTTTGTAGGTATTGTCATGGTGGACCGATGGCGCGGATAATTAAATTGTCACATCCCGCCCGCCCTCTACAATTTTAAACAGTGAGTATATTCAAATTGCCAAATCCCTGCTCCCTTACTCCAAGGCCGGTACTGGTACTACTACTACTAGTAGGTATAATGGATGCAGTCACAGCTGCCAGGTCTCAAATTGAGCTAATCACACGTACTACTCTACATTGTCACATAATGCAACACCACTATTGATTTAATCAACTTAACAGAAACATGTATGATCAAAGTCGGAAAAGAAGTCTTATGGGAAGGGCCCGCCAGTTGATATACTGAATGACTACACATTCAGTCCCAGCCTGGAAGTCCCCAATTACTAAGTGAGTTGAGTTTCCGTCTGAGTTTGAATTGTCATTCACTATATCATCTGCGCTATTTCCTTCACTGAACTTCTTTCTAACCTTCATCTCACATTGCTGATATGTTACCATGCCTGACTATTACTGTTACTTTACTACTGTTTTTGTTTTGCGCATCTGCATTATTAGAATATCGAGCATATATACTTCCAAATATTTCTCTAAAGTGTTGTACATGTAACTATTATTAGTTGTTGTTAGTACCGCATGATTGTTATCTAGTCACGAGTCTAGACACTTTCAAAGTCTTTTTGACCAAAGTGTTCGACTCTAGAACATAAAGATGATGATGTCCTTACTTTAGAACAAGTCCGCATCACTGAATGTATGCAATGAAGACATTGGTTGATGATCAGAAATATGTATGTTCCCTTCCTAACTTATGTACTATTAACAGCTTAGACATGGCATCCGAAGCTATTATCCTCTTCCCATTCCAAGCAGTCGGAAAAGAGTTTGGGAGAAGAAAGACCCTCTGGAATTTGAGGAAGGTCAGCCACGTGGATGTCAGAGGGTATATGATATTCGAGGTTGTTGGCGCGGTAATATTCTTCCAGCCATCTATCCCTATACGTCTTCACCCTATCTGAAAGGTAAGCACCATTTTTTTCCTCGTTCCTTAGTTGTTCTTTGACGAGGCGTAGCTCGGATTCTTCACTTATAGATTGTTCGTTGGAGACTGGGTGATTTTTCGTACAGTTTCCCGCATCAGAATTTTAAATCTTACCTGTGGTCTGCGTCCCTCTATCAATCAGATTCCTGTTCTGATGAATTTGACTGTACGCTCTAAGTCTTTAAAATGATCTATGTCACTTTACTCACTTGTAATCAATGCCGATTTGTATGTCTTTTGCGCTGTTGCTGCTTCTCAGTGCACTTGATGAGGTTAGTTGAATACTGCAAGGTTCATTTGATCAAAAGTTTTGTAACTCATGTCATATTAAAGAGCTCACCTGAGCGTGACTTTTTCGTTGACATGGAAGCATTGCTGCAAACTCTTTCGAGGGGGTGAGTCCAACGTCGGTGGGCTACTCGACATGATGATGCTGATAATTATGGCAACAGTGCCAGCATGACTTATGTATAAGTGTACAATGCTGTCATGCACCTGTCCGCTGTCAGTGCCAGGATAGCGGTTTTTTTTTTAGTTCCGACATGAATAGCAATCAAACCGCACTTTTGATGCCGTCACAATATCTACAGCGGGCGGAAGGTAAAATTTCCGCTATTTCCTAGTTGACGGTATATAAAGCGGCTCATGTTATATACTGTTATTTCAGCCTCCCGATTCCTGAACTCGAGTATGAGTAGTGACGAAAATCAAAGTCCACTTGAATCTTCACGCAAGCATAGTGGTTCAGCCCTTCATTCAGGCCCGCGTAAAAAGGCGTAAGTCGTGTTCAACTTATCGTAATTCTACTTTGCTGACCCGTAATTTGCCTTAAACAGAACTTCATCAAATCCCCTTGTTCTTCATGGCCGACATTTTGGTCGTACTGTGTTCGCAATGTGCAATTATCCTGCACTTCTGACTGCAGGCATACTCCGACTTGAAGAACTACAAGACTGCCCAATTGAAGATTATCCAGCAGAGTGAGTATATTTGTGTCGATTAAATGTCAATGGCCCCTTACAGTGTCTTCAATTTTTGAGTGTTCGACGAGAACACAGGGTATTCGTGGAATTGATAGATTCGTACCCTGGTCTTTTAGATCGTCTCACGAATGGCGAAGAAGAGGACATAATTCACGTAGGGGAACTAGTAAGTTTTTATAATTGAATTTTCATCATAATAATCACCCAGCAGGTGGGTAAAGGGGTGTCTGGTGCGCGAGGCGATGACACCAAGACTCTGAAATCTGCCGTCCTCGAATGGCTCATTCCTAGAGGACAGGCACTTATACCGCCCCTCTCCCACAATATCAAGTCCGACTGTGGCTTCAATCATGAAGTGACTGGCGCATTGCTCTGCCCGGCAGGTCTTGACTGGTCGAATGCAGAGTAAGTATTGTTACTATTTAATCACCTAACTGTCAAATCCCTTGCCAGAACCAAGCAAAGCCTCAAGAGTGGTGAAATTGCAGTGCGTGGCGACCAGTGGCCAATGTTTCTATATGCTGGGTACGTCTATAATCCTGAAGACCCTTGGACTGGTTTACTCAGGAGCGAGATACTCATCTTTGTAAGTTCGTTGTTGGCAGTAAACGTAGCACTCATTACAATTTTTTTTGGCAGGGTTTCAAGCACGTCTTTACCTCTCCGAGCTCCGTGGATAGGGAACCAAAAGCTACACGCTCCGGAAACGCATATCTCCACGGTATGAAGTCCGTGACCAAAGGGTCCTTGGCTTATATTGCCACGCAGGCACGTTGAAAATTTGCAAATTTATGCCTCTCCTACTAATTGATTTTTAAGGTTCGGTTTTCAATAAGCTCATCGTCTATATTTTCGCGTACCGATACAGTTACGGACTCAGAGAACTTTTATCATAGCATCCTTGATTTGTTAGAAGATCCTGATGAACATCAGGAAGTAGTCGACCTAATGACGTGGTGGACTCAGTTAGTGATTAATTTCATTCTCTAACTCAAGCTGATGGCTTTTACAGTCGCATCTTCCCTAATTCTTCCTCCTCGCAGCGATGTATGAGTAAAAACAGCGCGCTATCAAAAATTCGGGAGAAACACGCTGTTCTTCGAGAACGAGCCACTATGGGCACTAGTTAATTCATTGTTGTCGTTATTGTACTGTCTGTATTAAGATCTGAAATCCTAATACCACTTATGAATGCTCCATCTCTCATCGTATAACATGAGTATCCCAATGTAAGCATGTACTATGTTAGACCAAAATATCACCAATGCACTGCAGCGAGATAACTCATTGTCAGAGCTTGACTTACTGTTATTGATGATAGATTTTGCCATGAGAAGCCATCCATGCAATGGTAGGTGTAATTTGTAGAAGGTCCACAGCTTGTTATAGCATGATCATGCCCTGACACATCGTCAGCAATTGTAGAACCTGCCATCGGAAGCTACACATATAACAGTAGCTGTCTCTGGTAGAAGACCACCAACTTGCTATGGCATAACAAATAGATTTCATACCCTGGCATGTTGTCAGAAATTATACATCCTACCATGGGAAGCTGCCCATGTAAAGCCAGACATATTGAGTAGACAATCAGCACCCTGCTATAACATGATAATCTAGTATCATGCACTGGCACTCTGTCAGTGATTATATATTCTGCAGTTAGAAGCTATCTATGCAAGAGTAGATTGATTTGACAATAATATAACAATGTGTTATGGCATGACAACTAGATATCATATCCTGGCATACAGTCAACAATTGCAGATCCTACCATCAGAAGCTACCCATATAACAGTAGCTATCTCTGGTAGAAGATCAACAACTTGCTGGGGTATGAAAATTGGATACCATGCACTAGCACATTGTCAGGAATTATACACCCTGCCATGGGAAGCTACCTATGTAAGGCCAGACATATTAAGTAGATAATTAGAACCCTGCTACAGTATGATATTCTAGTATCATGTGCTGGCACATCGTCAGCAATTGTAAAACCTGCCATCAGAAGCTACACATATAACAGTAGCTGTCTCTGGTAGAAGGTTAACAAATTGCTGTAGAATGACAATTTAATATCATACCCTTGCACATTGACAGACACTATACATCCTGCCATGGGAAGGTGCCTATGTAAAGCCAGACATATTGAGTAGATAATTAGCACCCTTCTATAGTATGCTAATCTAGTATCATGTACTGGCACATAGTCAGCAATTGCAGATCCTGTCACCAGAAGCTGCCCATATAACAATAGCTGTCTCTGGTAGAAGATTAACAACTTGCTAGGGTATGAAAATTGAATATCATACCCTCGCACATTGTCAGGAATTATACACCCTGCCATGGGAAGCTACCTATGTAAAGCCAGACATGTTGAGTTAATAATTAGAACCCTGCTATAGTATGATAATCTAGTATCATGTGCTGGCACATAGTCAGTAATTGCAGATCCTGTCACCAGAAACTGCCCATATAACAATAGCTGTCTCTGGTAGAAGATTAACAAATTGCTAGGGTATGAAAATTGAATATCATACCCTAGCACATTGTCAGGAATTATACACTCTGCCATGGGAAGCTACCTATGTAAAGCCAGACATATTAAGTAGATAATCAAAACCCTGCTACAGTATGATAATCTAGTATCATGTGCTGGCACATATTTGGCAATTGCAGATCCTATCACCAGAAGCTGCCCATATAACAGTAGCTGTCTCTGGTAGAAGGTCAACAAATTGCCGTAGAATGACAATTGGATATCATACCCTCACACATTGTCAGAGACTATACATCCTGCCATGGGAAGCTGCCTATGTAAAGCCAGACATAATGAGTAGATAATCAGCACCCTGCTATAACATGATAATCTAGTACCATGCACTGGCACTCTGTCAGTGATTATATATTCTGCAGTTGGAAGCTACCTATGCAAGAGTGGATTGATTTGACAATAACATAACAATGTGCTAGTAGGTTATAACTTCCTACCATAGGCCTGCCAATATTATAGCATTGGGAGATCCCACCAATGTAGTCTACCTATCTATTACTTTATCATATGATTTGCAATTGTGATACATATTTGTGATATTATACATTAAATAAAGCTAGCTAATTCTTTGTCATACTCTAGTCAAATGCCTGATGCCTTCGAGACCATATAACTCAGCACACACGGTGACCCAACTCATAAAAGGGGTATATGTCTGTGAAGTGCGCACCATGGCTTCCGAAGAAAATGGGTCGCACTTTGGGGCATCGAGTGCAAACATGCAACAACTCGAAGAGTTCAGTATCAAGGAGACCGCACAGACAATGAGGTCTAATGCACCAGGATTGTGGGGATTGCTTGGGATTCTACTCAGCGAGGATGAGAGGTTGGGAAGTAACGAAGACGTGGTCATGAGCGATGCGGAAGAAGCTGTCAATGACTATTATTGGGATCAGGTGGAAGCAATAGAACTCGAGGGGTTCATCAATGCACTCACCTCTGAAGGGGATACAGTGGCCTTGAAGCGAGATATTCACACAAATAGATGTGCCGCTATATGTAACATTGTCAGTATAATGCCCGGTCTGACTCCAAATTTTTGCAGCGTGACAGACTGAATCTGACCTAAGGAAGGAATATCCGAACTGATTGTGAGTAATGGAATAGGAGCAGCCAAAGCCATTAATGGCAAATGTGTGTTGCTATGTCTACGTAGCACGAATTTTCTAATACAAAAATACCTGCGTCTTTCTAACCCTAAGTTCGTTCTACATGAATAAATTTCGTGTTCCGCTGGTTCAGCCACTGTGGCTGACGTTGTTTACAAATGTTATCTTCCAGCCGCTGCTGAGAGTGTGAGGGGAATAAGGTTATGCTGGGTTTGAAATTTTGTTGTATCATGTGACCTCGGATGTAGCCCTTCCACACTCGAAGCAGTGGTTGGGAACACATCGGGGTGAACAATATTTAAAAGAGGTTTATATGTTGTACAAAATGTGAAGACAATTTTTAATATTTAAACTAACATAAAGATGGGTGCACAACTTCAAATTTTGGTGGTGTTTTGTGTGTCATCCAAAATATCAAATATTCACAACCATATTCCCACAGACAATATGTCAACAAACATAAGAAATATAGTCAGATTTTTCATGTCTGCTTCAACTTAAAGTTCAATTTCCATGTAAAACTTTGGAGAAAACTTGAAGTTTTACAGATGACATGACATTAAAACTCGATTTAAATGTCAAGCTTTGGCAAAACTTCAAGTTTTCTCCAAAGTTTTATGTAAGAATCAAACTTTAAATTGAAGCAGACATGGAAAATCTGGTTATATTTATTATATTTGTTGACATATTGTCTGTGGGAATATGGTTGTGAATATTTGATATTTTGGATGACACACAAAACACCACCAAAATTTGAAGTCGTGCACCCATCTTTATGTTAGTTTAAATATCAAATATTGTTTTCACATTTTGTACAACATAAAAACCTCTTTTAAATATCGTTCACCCCGATGTGGAAGGAGCCTGCTTTGAACCTTGAAATGCCTTACAAGGCATTGAAATCTAAATTAGGAATTTCTGACATATTACTACTTTTGGATGTGTGGGACAGGATTTCAGCAAGCGACGCTGTAGTTTGCTGGCACTAGTTACAGGGTTGCGCATCGCTACTGTACTGAGCCTGGGTTGGGGATTTGTCAACCTAGCAGAGTCATCGATGACATAGCATCAGTAAACCGGTGAGTTCTTGCTGGGGATTATGCTGATTATGGTGCTTTTACATAGTCATATATTGCTTTATATCACTTTATATTCCAATGTGACGAAAACCTTTCCTATATATTACGATATATAACGATATATGACGATATCTTCTTCTCACAGGTTCTCTGATGCACTACGTATCATTTGGCTCCACGTTCCAAGTAAACAAGTTCGGTGATCTTCTTCAACTACATGGCAATTTCATCCAGCTCGATGGACTTTGTGTGTTGAGTGAGAGTTCTAGTGGGCTAGAGGAAGGACGTAAGTTCTATGGTCATGTCGGTATTTGCACTAACGAGGAAACTAACCGTCCAGATGGCAAGACTGCTCATTATCTTGTACTGGACTTGAAAGCCGCCCGGGTCTGAAGATCCCGGATCGATAGTATCTCAGACTCTAACGCATTGGATGTGGTTGGCAGTGCAATCTATGCCACTGGTAAGCGAAGGATAACTCACATGCACAGCCCAGCTGTGCTCCCAATTGCAAATTAAGAGAGGCACTACATTGGGGACCGGCACGCAGTATTTGCTCTGCCAATCTGAATTCACGGCGGAAGTGGTACGAGCGCTAGTGCTAATATTTATATGACCGTGTACACACCAGCTGCTGCACATGCCATAAACTTGTTGCAGCCTCATCAGTAAATTCTCACATTTCTTGAACTGCCTTTTTTGTAACTTGCCGCCGGTTAACTTCCAAAAAAGGTGCGGATAAGCCACGCGCAAGAACTGTGACACCCACTTGCCACAAGCAATTTTAAGTTGAAAAAGCAGATGCCTCCTCTTGACTGGACCTTTTTCCACTCTTATTTTGGCCTTTTTTCGATAATTTTGCCTTTGTAAGTAGTGCAAGTGCTAGCAAAAGTAGCAGCAAGTAATAACACTTATCTCACTTATTTTCTACTTGTTTGCGACTTAATCACACTTTTTGAGAGAAAAATGACGGCAAAACATAGCATTTCAAGCGACAAGTAGATTAAGTATAGAAAAAGTTGGACAAAAGACACTAAAAAGGAGTTTCAGAAGCAGCAATTAGCGAAGCAGTAGCATACTATGAAGCAGTGAAGCAGTGAAGGAGATGCATGCAGTGGGCAACAAGAAAGACAACAACTAGAACCCTATGAGTGCGCGCTCATCCTCTGAGTCTTCGTCTGGAGCGGAGGGTGCACCGCGCCTCTTAAAGGCAATCTCCTTCGCCTGTTCCCAGATATCCTGGATGACTGAGTCTTGCAGGCGGTTGATGGATGTCATGTAGCGCCTGGTCATTACACCGAAATTAGTGTCCGAGAACGCCTTTCGAGAGCCGCTGATCTTGCCCGAGGACTTGTTGAGAGAGTGAGGGACCTTGACGGCCTTGCCTTTACTGTTCGCCTCCAATTCGCTGACAAGCGTCTCAGAAGCGATAAGGCGGATGGCACGTTCCACCTAAAACACAGGAAATAATTAGCCGTGCTGTGAAGAGAGGGCAGGAAGATACATGCCGCTGCAGTGCAAAGGCTGAGTGCACCTTTTGCATGCGCTGTTGTGTGATGGTCGCCAATAGCACCCAAAGTAGCGCATGCGTGCTGTGTGAGTACCTGAATGATAAGCTCAGACTCGAAAGGGTTCTCCAATTTCCCTTCCTCCGGGATGTTCCCATACAGGAACGCTAACTTGACAAGTAAGCTCTCGGAAAATGCTTTGCAATCTTCATCAGTCTTGACATCATCTTGCAACGACAGGAAGTTTGTGTATACCGTGACAGCCGTGGTGCCAATGCAATTGCGCCACTCTGATAGCCGTTGCAGAGCCTAGGAAAAAATAAAGGTCAGACATGAATAGTGTCAAAGATAACTCACTATAGCTATAACGGGTCCATCATTCGTGACGATATGGGGGATATCTTCATAGACAGCATCCCAGGTGTCCTGTATAGTAGCGTGGAACGTTGCTTCCGACTCAATACGACCCCAGACTTCTTCCTGGTCTCCGATAGCAGAAATGAGAGTGGGAATGAAGGTTGTGCTCCACCTAGCCACTGCCCGAGGTCCTCCAGGAAGATGCTTGATCCTATATGAAGAACGGGGGAGGATCTCCACTGTCACCTCTAACGGATTCGCGGGACCAGCCTGAGGTTTCACAGTACTTGGAATGCTGGACATGCTGCGAGAAGACTTCAGCCGCTTTGCTGCAGGGGGGGCATTGCGTTTGACGCCGACACCGGTCTATAAATTTTGTAGTCAGTAGAATTCAAATAATTGAACCCAAAGCACACTACCGTAGAAGTCAACCGCAAGGACACTGGTTTGTACTCAGTCTTGACCACAGTCTTGACCACAGGCTCGACGTGAGCCACAAACTCGATTTCGGAGGAGGGTGAGTCTTCGTCGACCAGGCCATCCTCGATCATGAGGTCGTCTTCGATCATGAGGTCGTCTTCGATCATGAGGTCGTCTTCGATCATGATGTCGTCCTTGATCACATCCGTTAACATGAGGTCGTCCTCGATCACAAAGTCATCTGTGATCATGAGGTTGTCCTCGATTAGAGTGTCCTCAATCAAGTCATCGTCAGTAATGTCATCCTCAGCATCTACGAGTTTGCGCTTGACGCTGGTAGGGCGGGATAAGTAGGATGGAGCGAGACGTGGAGGCCGGTCGGCATCATAGTATCCTTTTGGAACCTGTGCAGAAGGAGGGGGTTCAAGATCAGATTCCCTCTCGGTATTGGAATCATAGTCAACGAGGGAAGTTACTGGAGGAGCAGTCTCCGCATTCACTTCAAGATCATCACCCACGAGATTGAAGGCACCATCATCCGCGGTGACATCAGGCTCAATCGGGTCGAGCTGCTTGGGTGCCAGATTGGCATTGCGATGGGGTAACTTCGTTTGAAGTCGAGAATTCTCTGAGACCTTTTGAGAAATTTTGACACCCTGGAAATGCAGTTAGCACATAGAAATAAACTAGATGGTTGGACTCACCTGAGAAGCCTTTGATTTTGACATACGAGCGAGTGCTTGAGAGCGCTCGACTGAGTCGGTTAATTCGTCGTCTGCAAACAGAGTTGTAAAAAGATCTGACACGTCGTTGGCCCCAGCATCGGGAGTATCGATAGGCGTGAGTAAGGCACCACCACTACTCAAAGTGCTCCCCCTGGTGAGCTTAGAGGAGGGAGTGGCACTAGAGATAGTAGTAGAAGGCGCTCCAGAAGCTCTCCCACGGTGCTTCAAGTTGGACTCGGAGGATGGCTTTCCAATGTGAATGTGCGTCCTCCAATTCGGGATACGACCGATATGACTGAATTTTTTAGAACCAGGTGGAGAGCTAGCATCGTCATCATAGACCATAAGATTGAAGAAAAAAAGTGATGTTTCAGTCAGATGGAGCTTCATGGTTAAAACGATTAAATGCCTTACACATCCGAGTCAGACGACTTATCATCATCATGTGCCTGTGTTGATTCGTTGGCGATAAGGGCACCCGCCACATCAATCGCATCTCTCACAGGTGTTTTCACTGGGATCACCATCCTCTTTCCCTTCTTCTTGCATGCTCCTGGCATCTGCACCTCCAACTCCTCGTCTTCTTCACTCCCAGGATGCTCAATATTGGCACTGGCTGCTGATTTATCAGCCCTGCCACCATTGCCTATAGCGCCAACAGCCTTACCGGCAGCCGTAGTCAAGTCGGTGGTCTCTGGAGCTTTCACAGCCTTTTTCACAGGACGAGGACGAGGACGACTAGGCTTAGGTGCATCAGCACGCGCAGCAGCTTGGTCTGTCTCCATCTTTTTATGAAATGCCGCAACGCGCTTATTAGTTTCCAGTACAGCTGCTTTACTTGCCTTCTTCTCCTCTTCTTCACGTTGGTCGTCGGCGGCCTTTTGAGCTTTGGTACGTCTTTTTGTACGGTTTTCGCCCCCAGTCAGAATATGTCCTGGATGCTGAGTTGCATTCTTAGGTCGAGTCGCCATGCGTTTTGGAGCTGCGCTGGTGGGCATGGTGTCAATGGAGCGTTTGGGAGGGTAAAGAAATTTGAGGGCGATGGTAGCTCACAACAAGGTATGTTTCGTCACCATTCTTCAAAAATTGTAGTCTAAGCTGACTCTGAATAAATATCTACATTGACCCTTACCAAGCTGACGTACCCACTAGATTACCGCGATCCTTTCGCGCCTGCCGCTCCCAAATGTTTGTCTACCAGTATTTTTCACCAGCCCCAGTAGTCTGAATATTAATTTTTACCCATAGTTTTGCTGCAAGGCGTCAATGTTCATCAAGCGCTTCTCGGCAAGCAGTTTGAACATCAACATTTACTAAAACCTGTCCGGCAAGGAGGCAGTTCAGTAACACTTTCGGCATATTTCGGGTGCTGTGAACCCAGAGTTCACTGTATTGGACACCTTCAAGTTTCTGGTGTTGCTCAAACGTCAATGAGCCTATGTAATTTGGGCGCTTTCAAGAACCCCCGAATCTAGCCTTCATTTGTGCATTTAGCCTGGTTTGGTCACATTGGTGCCGGTCCGAATTTCTCGTTCACCTTCAGATATACTTTTCGACTGCCAACATCAACTTGGCCTACAACACATATATGCCTCCCCGCCGTGCTCACCACCTACTTCAGCTTCCATGCCCGGCTCCAGGCTGCGCACGCTGGTTTCGAAACCAATCAGGTCTCACTCAACACAGGCGTTCACTCCACCCAAATATACCTGCTCCAGGACCTCCTCAACCATCCCGGTCACCATCCCACCCTCGAGATTTCTCACCACCACCTCCGGAATTCTCACCGCCTCCTCGGGATTTCTCACAACCTCCCCAGCCATCACCTCCTATGCCCTCTGAACCAACTCATGAGGATTCGGACAACGCTGACGCAGAATTTACCGATTCAAGTGAGCGTTGTTATCGTACATACCATTCGATGTTAAACGGTACGTTCATTTACATCTGTACTCTTGTTGTTTTTGTTTTTGACTTAGATCTATGCTTAGGACGACCATGCACGGCTGATGGAGAATTTCTGCCACATGGCGCCCCTCCAACACCCATGCCACAAAAGGCTCCTGACGACTGGAGCCCATATCACAATAGAATAGAATTTGAGGCGGCTGAGTTCGCGTTCAAAAAATGCCATATGTCTGCCAAAAACCTGGATTTCTTATGTGATTTAATGGCCGCAACTCTCATGAAACACCGCGATGTCCCTCCATTCGCCGATCATAAAGATCTCCACAATGTCATAGATGCGACACAGCTTGGTGATGTCCCCTGGCAATCTTTCTCGGTTCAGTACACAGGAGAACGCCCTGAGGTTGTCCCGCCATGGATGGATGATGAATTCGATGTCTGGTATAGGGACCCTCGCGCGATGGCGCACAACATACTAGCCAACCCCACCTTCAAAGATGAAATCGACTATACGCCATTTCATGAATACGATGCATCGGACAAGACGCGCCGTTGGAAAGACTTCATGTCTGGAGACTGGGCATGGAAACAATCAGTATGTTTTCCATCTATTACTGCTCGGGACAGAGCTAACACTTCATCAAGGACATCATATCAAAAGATCCAGAGACGCATGGATCTGCGTTAGTCCCAATCATTCTCGGTAGTGATAAGACTACCGTTTCTGTGGGCACTGGTAACAACGAGTACTATCCCCTCTATGCCTCGATCGGCAATGTACGCAACAGTGTACGGCGTGCTCACCGCGATGCTCTTGTCATAATCGGTTTCCTCGCCATACCCAAAAGTACGTGTGTTGATATTTTAGATTTTATTGCGCCTCATCTGACTTACTGCACTACAGCTGACAAGAAGCATTCAAAAGATGATGTGTTTCGGATATTTCGTCGCCAGCTATTCCACAGCTCGCTATCTGCCATTCTCTCTAGCTTGAAATCCGCAATGACCGAATACGAAGTTGTGCGCTGTGGAGATGGACATTTTCGGCGCATTATATACAGTCTAGGACCCTACATCGCGGATTACGAGGAACAACTAGTGCTATCCTGTATTGTTAAGCATTGGTGCCCGAAGTGAGTATTGGAAGTTGTAATCATTATCCATCTGTACTAACAATACACATAGATGTATTGCAGTTCGAACGAACCTCGACAATGGTGGCATGGATCGCTGTCGTGAGCACACTGAGTTCCTTATTGGTGAGCTACATGGGGATGTATTATGGGATGAATTCGGTATCATTGGTGATCTCGTCGTGAGTGGAGCCGGCCGCTCTGCAATTCGAAACTAATATGTATTGTGTAGCCCTTTACGAACGACTTCCCCTGAGCAGATATCCACGAGTTACTGTCATTCGACCTCCTCCATCAGCTCATCAAAGGTGCTTTCAAAGACCATCTCGTCGACTGGGTAGCAAAGTACCTCAAGGCTGTGCACGGGACCAGGCGGGCGGAGGAGATTATGAGCGACATAGATCGCAGGTATGCCCTTCATTCATTATATTGATATTCTCTTCTAATTTAAGTCAGAGTCGCTGCTGCACCATCATTTTCTGGTCTACGACGATTTCCTCAAGGCCGCGACTTCAAACAGTGGACGGGTGATGATTCGAAAGCGCTCATGAAGGTCTTTCTTCCAGCTATTGAAGGCCATGTGCCTGGAGATATGGTTCGCGCATTTCGCGCATTGTTAGAATTTTGTTATCTTGCGCGGCGCGATGTTGTCACCGAAGATACCCTGAACCAGATGCAAGACGCACTTCACCGGTTCCATCGCTATCGCCAGATATTTGATCTCGTTGTTCCTACCTTCTCACTCCCTCGCCAGCACTCAATGATTCATTATACGGACATGATTCGACTTTTCGGTGCCCCGAACGGACTATGCTCGTCAATCACAGAATCAAAACATATCAAGGCTGCAAAGGAGCCTTGGCGTTGGTCAAGCAGGCATAATGCTCTTGGTCAGATGCTTGTAACCAATCAACGCCTTGACAAGCTTGCAGCATCCCGCGTGGACTTTGATGCACGAGGGATGCTCACTGGCACTATTTTATCAAGTGCTTTAGCCGCTCTCAGTAAGATTTCTTTCTCTGGTCGTCTTCTTGCATACTCAAACAGCAACATACAGCACCGGATGAAGATGAACAGGCTGTCCCTCCTATTGCACCACAGCCAGATGCCCATGCCATTGAACCGCAACCAGACATCGATATCGATGACGGTGAGGTAGTTGATGGTCCAACAGTACTTGGTTATGTAGTGCTTGCCAAAACTCCTCGTAAGTGATACCATGCAGCGTCAAATCTCGATGCTAACTATTGTATCATACAGAACGAAAACGGGCGCGAACAGTAGCGGCGTTAGCACACGAAGTTGCTGTTCCAGATCTGCGACGCCTCATTCGACACTTTTTGTTCACTCAGCTCAACCAAGATGATCCCCGCGATCCTGCAGATGTCCCAACTGGTAGCTTGCCTCGGCATGAAGGCAAGCTCCAGGTCTTCAATTCTGCTGCCGCAACCTTCTTTGCTCCCAGCGATCTGAGTGGTACTGGTGGCATGCGACGGGAACATATCCGTGCATGTCCACTCTGGAGAAACGAGTACCCGCGCAATGACTGTGTGTTCATCGACACTGATTCGGACGCTCAAGGCATGCGAGGACTCGAAGTTGCGAGAATTGTATGCTTCTTTTCTTTCAAGCACAACTGGGAAGTATATCCATGCGCTCTCATTCATTGGTTTGAGAAGATTGATGATTGTGCTGACGAAGACACTGGCATGTGGATGGTCCGTCCCAGTTTCCACGAGGGTGGTTCCCGGAACCTTGCTGTTATTCATATCGAGACGGTGTTCCGTGCAGCACACCTGATACCTATGTACGGTTCGGAGTACATCCCTCATGACCTTAAGTTCTACCATTCCATTGATTGTTTCCGCTCATTTTATGTCAACAAGTTCGCTGATCATCATGCGTTCGAGATAGCCTCCTGACCGCCATGTATGGCATAGGTACGTCTTCAATTCAAATTTTGATCTGTTTTTAACGGTCAGATCCCATTAGAATATTTAATTCCTTGAGATCGTGCCTCTATCGACAATGATGGACTGGTCTGGCGAATTCGCAAAGTGGGCGCCGACGCTGAAAATGATCTCGTACAAGGGCAACCCTGCACAATGTCGAAACCTCCAAGGCGACCTGCAGATGGGCCAGTTCCAGGTTCTGCTCACTACGTACGAGTACATCATCAAGGACCGACCTATTCTCAGCAAACTCAAATGGGTGCATATGATCATTGGTAAGTGGGTTTGATTTTTTTTTTTGGTTATGTTGTTCATGCTTGCTATCAGAGGGACATCGCATGAAGAACACCCAGTCGAAACTTGCACAGACGCTGACACAGTACTACCATTCCCGCTACTGCCTCATCCTCACCGGTACCCTTGCACAGACGCTGACGCAGTACTACCATTTCCGCTACCGCCTCATCCTCACCGGTACCCCCCTTCAGAACAACGTTCCCGAACTATTGGCCCTCCTCAACTTCGTCCTGCCCAAGATCTTCAACTCTGCGAAGTCACTCGATGAGGGGTTCAACACGTCATTCGCGAACTTGGGTGTGGAGAGCGATCACGGAGAAGAGTGTCGAAGAGGCTATGAGAAATGGCGAGGAGGACGGCAAAAAGGTTCGTGTTCGTTCTACCTAGTGTACAATGCTACAACGCTGACGGCTTATATTTACAGGCCACGAGACACTGAGACGACACTATCATAACGAATGGTGAGTGCTCGTCGATTATCGGACATCTCAGTACTCACTGTAGTTTGGAATCACCCCACGCGCCTCACGCAACGCGTTTCATCTCGTCTCGATCCCTGCTCCACATCCACCTCTTCATCCTTTTCCAAAAGCCCAACGAGGCCCCCTCCGTGTTCGCCTCCTCCGCCTCCGCCTCTGCTTCAGCCCGAATGGCAGCATCCGCCCTGATCACTACATCGCCCCACTGGCGCCTGCTCCCCCGCCCACAAACGAACGTTTTTGAGGCTGCCATGGACTGTAATCAACACCATCTCGTCAATCTATCATAGCTAAAATGAGTCTTAGTAGTACTTACTTCACTTCTGTTACTTGCAATTGACGAAGGCACTTTTGATGGCTTATCGCTGTATTATCACGCTTGTTTGTCACGTGCTACCTTTTGATCAATTATTGCACTTGTTTGTCGCGCGTCTCCTTTCGTTTGCACGCGCTCAAGTAAATAATGGTAAATAAGTTGTAATTAAGTTTTAATTTTGCAAATAAGGGCGGCCAAGAAAAGTGTGAATTTACTGATGCTGCAGGAATGAATCCTTCGATACGATAGCAGAGGTGTGGAATTTTATCAGGCAGCGATCACGTTAATTAACTTGCAATGCAGATCCATCCATACGCCAAGGCAGCATCGGGTGTCCTGTCGGTTGTGTCCAAGGCATCCATCACACCACACGATGTTTCTGATGCACGTCTGACTGACATATATTTCATACAGACAATAACATCCCAAGCAACTCGTGACGACTCAATTGGCCAGCTCCTTTCAAATATGGATGAGGTGGACATGTTTCTCGCAGAGAACGACCTGGCGGCTCTCAGATCAATAAAAAGTGTCGTCGTGCGGATATGTCAGCAGACGCTCGAGCGTTCCTATTTCCTTCGCGATTACTCCAAGAGCCAGAATTTTTGTGAGTTGACCAGCAACATGCGGTCCTCATTCAGTTAACACAATCTTATATTTCAGGCCCGGCAGAAATGCCGTATCAGAAACTGATGTCACAATAAAGGGATACAATACCGTGTTTGATGACCTCGTACAACAGTTTCGGGATAGGGCAGCTTGGGACACGGTGGTGGACGTGCACTGAATGTTGGAAGGCATCCAGCAGCTGAGTAGGTGCTTCATGCTGTTGACTCTCGATGGTTTTAACATCCATGCTCCAATCGAAGGTGCGGACCTGAGCGGAATGAAATATGCGGAAGGAGCAGGATTAGACACGAGAAAGAAGTGTTTGCCGGGAACCCGAGAGGAAATTCTGGATGAGGTCACGACTTGGATCAACAAGGCTCCCGATCGCTGTACGAAGCTATGGACTTACGAAAGATACTAAGCAGTGCGTATGGAAATGTCCTTGCTCACTGTCACTGATCAGTGTCTTATCATACTGGATCAAGCGTCAAGTATTATGAATTATGAGCCGTTGGCCTTTCAGGCAGTTTCATCAATTTAATAATCAGAAGCACAGTGTTAGTTCCTCAATAAGCAGACTGGCAGCAAACGATCTCATATACACTGATATAGTAGCTTGTAGCGTTTTGAAAACTTCGTCAAGTGGCAGACAGTGGCGATTCTGCCACTTCTGCCGGCATAATTGCCCGTCAATAACCTGCCTTCCCGGGCCAGCGCAAACCTTATCTTCACACATTCCGCAAATCACTGTGCATACCTTCCGAGCGTCATGTATCATGCATCATGCATCATGTTCAACCCCTTTTCAACTTGAGAGCTTGGCAACGATGCTCTCAAAGCATTTTCCAAGTTTCGTAGACTCTTTGCTGCGATTTTCTTTCGTTTCATGTCAGAATTTCCTACCGACGTCCCGGGTCTGTTTACCTCGGAGACTATACTCGACGTTCCCGTTGCGGTATGGAAGAGGATACTCTTGGGTAGCGATTTCCCCTCGCGATGTGCCCTTGAAGGGCTCACTTTTTGCAAAGCTCGCAAACGAAAACAGCATGAATTTATTGTGCTGTATTTCCGTCATTGGAATGTCTTAGTGCCTGCAACTGCGGTTATGGTTGTAGACCGCGCTGCAAAGACATCCTCAAAGAAAAATGGCTATTCCGCACCTATCGCGCATTCGTCAGGCATCATTTCCCCTGCAGCTTTACAAACTCTCGCCTTTGATTCCGTTTCCCAAGTCATTACCCCAATCAAGGATACTCAGGCTGAAATTCGAAAGTGCCTGCGTGAAAGATATGGCAAGTACAAAGAACTTTGCAACCATACATTCTCCGACAACTCTGCACGCCCCTCGGCAACCCAGATATCTGTTCTCTTATCCGTTATAAGCCAGCATGCTCCCAACTACAACTTGTACCGATTTCAGTGCTATTGGTTTGCTATGACTATCTGGGAAGCCACAAAACAGCTCTACCCAGACTCGGAGGATACCGAGGCACCCTGGAAAGGGAAGCACTCTCGCTGGCACGGGATTAAAATGGATTCGGCAGACAGTGTAGATGCCGTGTGCGAGAAGTACGCTATGGAGTGGAAGCTCTTCGAAAAAGAAGCAGAGCGGAAGAAGCAAGCAGAGCATGACAGAATGCAGGAGGTAAGCCTTTTGTGGACTAGCGCTACGATGTTTGACATTGTGCTTCTTACAGATGTGTGGGCAGGTTCTGACTGAGAAACAGGCGGAAATTGACCGCTTACAAGCGGAAGTTGCCCGATTACGAAGTGATGCGAGGTCGCCCAAGGTGACGTTTGAGTATCATTAAAGTCACTACATTTGGAAGTACATGCAGTTTGACTCCCTAGTTCACCAGCGCTTGGATGTCGGCGGTTTTTCGATTTTATGTGATCCGTTTCTGCACTATTCTCAGCTACTTTCATATTGATAGATCAGATCTCTTTTTTTGTTTTCTATTTACTCACTGGACAAACACGGGAGTGTTGAGTTCACGTTGAGTACCCTGTTATGACTTCGAGCTAGCTCGGTTGTAGGGTTCGGGGAATTTGAGGTGTGCAAGTTACAGGGTAACCTCGAAAACCAGGTGTCAATATTATTCAATTAGGGTCCAACTGGTATTAGCATCAATGATTCAATTGGTTTTCTTGACTTATCTCGCTATCTCGTACCGCATGACTCCTGTCATTGGTTCTCAGCATGTTAATCCTCCGAATTCATTACCTAATCGACTCACATGATATTTGTGTCGAGCCTATGTTATTGTAGTCAGCTACTTTAGATCTACTCTACTCCGCAGGTTACCCGTACCCGTGCAGATCCCTAGAAACACTTCAGTTTTTCATCGTCACATCACTTGCAGGCTATGGTATATGAAACATGAGCTATCTTGTTAACGTAGGTATCTAGGAATATTCTACAGACAGTTTGAACTATAGTTTCTGTGGTCGATGCAAAGACTCAATGAGATTTGAAGTCCCTATACAAAAACTCACCGATCAGGCAGGACCTGGCACCAGTTTGGTAGGAGACTAAGGTGGTTCGTATTCGGCATTCGCCGAACGCCGATCTCCGAGTTCCGACAGAGTGACCCCCATATTTTTGGCGTTACCGTCGTTTGTATCATCTTTCAACACAAACTTGAGCTTGACATGCCCCTTCTCGGCAAAGCACCGGCGTCAACGGACTGTGGCCGTGCTGAAAGTGCACGTTACAATAACGCTCATTATTTCCGTCAAGATTTTGATCTTGTCCGATAAAACTGGGGCTTAGGGCATGCACGCAATAGTGGATATTGAACTTTTATTGTTTCATTCCTGCCATCAGCCATCCTGATTCTTCTTAGTGAGGGTACCATGAGGTCTTGAACTTTATTCAACTTGCATTTGAATTTCTCATGCAACGGTGCTTTGTCCCCTAGAACTTCAGGCAAACACACGATTGGACTCTTGGTAATTTACATCTACGTATTTTGTTTGTGTTCAACTTGTCTGTGCGCCAGTACGTTTTGCTTCTCATCTTCTGATAGAATGCAGCTTTTCGTGAGCAACCCTTTCGGCACGACCTTCACCGTTGAGTCGTCCCCGCAGGACACTGCCGATTCTCTCAAGAGCAGGATTCTGGAGACTACCAGGCAAGTCTCTGTTGATAATTTTTCTCCCTGTCTCATTGTTCCACGGATATGAAGCTTGTCGGATTTGAATACTGCAGATGTGCGGTTGACCTTTGCTGGCCACGATCTGCCTGATCGCGCAACGTTTGCGAGCGCGAATGTCTCTAACGGGTGCACGCTGAGTTTTGGTGCGCCCAGGATCGGATCTAAAAAAAAGGTCCTTGTCTAACAGTATCATTACTCATGTTTCAGACTTTCGCCTGAGGGGAGGAATGCTTCCACAGCCATGTCCATTGCCCACCCCTCAGGAGTCGGACGACAGAGTCGCTACTCGTCAGATGGAAAGGGATACAATCAGTATGACGCTTCCAGGACAGATCATGATCTCAATCCGAACGATACATGCCCAAAAATTTGATATCTTTGCGCCACCCAGCAGCTCCGTTTTGTTCCTCAAACAGAAAATATCGGAGAGTATTGAAGTGGACGCTGAACATCAGCGTTTGCTGTTTTCCGGGAGAGTTCTCCAAGACGACGGTACCCTTGAAGATTATGGTGTCGCAAATGGGAGCGTAATGCAGCTGTGTACGCTTCTCTTCCTGTCTCCAGCCCTGTTGACCTTATGATCAATTGGAATGTCTGTAGCTATTCCACCTGGCCTTAAGATCGCTGTGAAGACGGAGACTCAAAGACGAAGACGAGGACAAGAATCAGAGGTGCAGATATTTGTCAAAAATCTGAATGGCAAGACGATGACCCTGATGATCTCGCCGATGGACACGGTAGAAAATCTGATGAAGAAGATTCAAGAGAGGACGGACATTCCACCTTCTGAGCAGCGCATCCTATTCGGTGGGAAACAACTCGTGCCCGATAGGATTTTAGCGGACTACAATATTTCGAAGGAGAGTACGTTGCATCTTGGTGAGTAAATGGGTTCGCCAAGACTTTTGATCTTCGTTAACCCAGTCTGTTCAGTACTTCGTTTACGAGGAGGATTGTGAGGTGAAAAATCGACGTGCAGCACTATTTTTTGGTTTCCAATCGATCCCCCAGTACGATGTGCAGTGTATGATTATGGCCATGTAAGCACTCAGGTATCTAATGCTATCACAAGGCAAAATTGAACGGGTCAGAACACTATGTATCAAACCTTGCAGTCCTAGTGCCGCCATACCAGAGCATGCCTCATGTTAGCACATGTACAGACTGTCACATCTGCTGCGAGCACCAGGCAGGACATAAATAAGATTTGTAATTTTGGATAAGAACGAAGATACTGGAACCCTAGTGCCCTCCGAATGATAGTCAGGCGGCTACTGGTAGTCTTCTAGCGGTGTTCGAAGATCTCAAGGGTCCAAATTTTCAGGGTCCGTGTATCCATAGATCAGTCAGATATGGAAGGAGTTCAAGTTGCACGAGGCAGGAGCTCAGGCTTACCACTAGGTCCACAGCCTGGCACGATTCAAACTTATTTGCTGTACCATAGGCGCTGGTTGCTCGTGTTGCGGCAAGTTCCAGCCTGCGAACTTCCTTACCCGATTAATCGATTAAGTATGACCCGGTTCCGCGTGGCAGAACTTCATCACGCCGGTGTTCACAATGCTGTTCATTTAATACCGTACTAGTACATATTGTACGTGGGAACAGGTAAGTTACTGCGTGTTCTTACTACACAGATCATGATTTTTTTTTTCAATCTCGATTTCGCAGTTTCGCTAGTAGCACTGCTGTGCCACCATGCGACTCGGAGTCGCGGAGGGCTGATTGGCTGATGGGCCGCCCTAGCCCAAGTTAACCGTGGCATCTCACTACGGCACCAGCAAAAGACTGCCGGTGCACAGTAAAGCGCCAATTTTACGTCAACTTGAGAAACAAACTCTCGTCGCACCCGTTACGAACTGTGCTTTATGTCAGTAACTCGGGCGGACACTATGCGCGGCCATGGTGCCAACGAATCAACCTCACAATCTCACACCAGTTTCAGATTTGACAGTGAAATGGATAATCTGTGGACCAACTGTGAATCGCTAGCTGGTGGGACCTACCTGAACACTCAGGTTGACAGTCTTTCCGAACGCAGTTCAACACTCATAAAGCCTCTTCATCTTGCTCTTGGGCTTCTTTTTGACGGACTCCACGATGATGCGGACTCAAGGTTGTACACTACCGACCCTGAATTGCCCAGGTCTCTTCAATTACCTCTGTTCTGGACCGCTGTTTCCCAGGCCTCGAGCATTCCTGACGATATTGGCTCGCATCTTCGCGAGGCGACTTTCAAGCCACATAGCGAGCGGCTCCTGCAGCAGTGTATTGGCCAAGCGCTATGGCAAAAGCTGAAGAGGGAGCAAGACTTAGAAAACAGAGCTTCTTCAGATACAAATGTGAGTCACGACCATTAAACATCATATTTCCATGTGTATTGTTTCAACTCAAACGACATCAAACAGCATATTCTAAATCGAGCTACCACAGGTACCGAGATCATTTTAAAGCGGGCGAGGGAAATTTGCGATGAATATGTTAGGCTTTGTCTTTGGGTGGACAACTACAGAACTTACAACATGGTACTTTCAGGGCAGTGAGCGTATCGCTCTGCACCACATTCTGCTGGCGCTCCTTGAGTACAAGGAGCTCCAGGTCATTCTTGAGCAATGGCCAAGCCTACACACCAAAAGGCTTCCTGATATCGTTCGCCGTCTCAGACCCATAACCATTCGCAGCTATGATACTCGATTGTTCCCCGTCTTAAACCAGTTAGTTTGTTTTTTCTAGCTTATTTTTTATTTTCTTCCATTCCATTCATAGATGGGCAATCGATCTCACGCACCTTGTCAAAGATAAGAAGGAACGGGGAGAAGTTATTGACCCGTTGATCGGCAGAGTGCGTGCTCATATAATTGATGTTTCTTCACGCTAAGTATTGTCTTTGTAGTGTAACGAAATGCGTCGCCTTATAGCTATCCTGTCAAGACGGTGAGTGAGAATTTACAATTTTTTCCTCGTCCGCTGATAGCATCCGCTGCAGCAAGAAGAATAGTGCTGTTCTCCTCGGTATGTTCACTTGTGGGTAGTGCTGATCTACTTTTGAATTCTGGAATCAGGCGATCCAGGCGTTGGAAAAACCGCCATTGCTGAAGGCCTAGCCCAAAGACTTGTTGAAGGAGTCTTGAAAGTTGGTACTGGTGCGTCGAGTCTCTAAAAGTTGGTTTGAGCAATTGATCAATTAGAGAATGTGGAACAGGGAATCCTAACAGAAATCAGCCTGGCGTCGTTCAAGGCCTGGATCAGAGTGTCGGACGCACCATGCAAGTCCCAGAGTCGGTCGTTGCCCGGGTGTTTAATCTAGACCTCGCATCATTACTTGCAAGCACGGCATGCAAGTCAGCTTATGAACAGGTTGGAGAATATCGTCCTTTTTCGTTTGCCACTTGCTAACGACACACATTGACCAAAGATTGTCAAGATGATATTGGATGGTACAACTACGTTGACCACTTCAACGTGTGCTCATTCCCCTCTTTTATTGCAGAGATTGCACACCATGAGGAAAGGGGTATCAGGGCCATCATTTTCATGGACAATCTGAACCAGATCACCATAGGAGGGTACCGCGGCGATGGAACCGGTCTGTAAATATCATGGAATTTTATAGTCACTTTATTTTTACAAGCTGACTACTCGATGTCTTCTATAGGGACGCTGCCACCATTATGAAGCCATTCCTTATGAAGGGAAAACTACGTTGTGTTGGGTGTTCAACTGTCGAAGATTTCCGAATGTATATAGAAAAGGATGGCGCATTAGCTCGTCAATTTTCGCCTGTAAGTAGATCGTCCATCGAAACCATTCCCTGTGCTGATCTGCCGAAGATTTACGTCTGCGAATCCACTCCAGATCAAACAGTGGAAATACTACGGGGATTAAGGGACCCCCTACAGCGTTTTCACAAGATTGCCATTTTGGATGATGCCCTTGTAGCAGCAACCACGATTGCTACACAGTTCTTCGCACATAAAAGGTCAGGTCATTGCTTCGGTTGTTGTCTTCTCATCCCTGACTTGTCTAATTCAACTCAAGACTGCCAGACTCGGCGATAGATCTAATTGATGAGACGTGCGCTCAGGCCAACCTTGCACGTAGTACCAACTCAGAAACAGTGTGGAGGCTTCAGAGGAGCAGAGTTGTGCTGAAAATGGACATGCGTTCCTTGGAGGTGGGTCGTGTTTTGTATACTTACCTGTGGTGCTCGTCGCTGAACCTCTGGTGTAGCGGGAGGTTGACGAGGAAAGCGATCGAAGGCTGCTTGAAGCTCAAACTAAACTATACAACCTTGATCGAAAGATCGAAGCATCAAGCTCTTTGAAACGAGCTCGCCGAATTATACGTCGCAAACTGAAAGAAGTCGACGAGAAGATCAGGACAGAGGAAGATCGATTCACACTTGGGTAAGCACAAATTTGAAGTTTTGCGCGACAGCTTGGACTCAACCGTTTAAAGTTCATTTAACAATGAAGACGAAAGACAAAGGGCCATAGACAGAGTCCGGGACCTTGGGATCGATCAAGACAATCTGCGATACCAACTAGAGCAGGCCGATTCCGAGACATTCGCTTCAAATTTGGATGAATTCGAAAAAAACAGCGACCCGATTACGAAGGAGATGGTTGCAAAGACCGCCATGTATTATACCTTTATTCCTGCAGCTGAAACTCTTGATCCATCAGAGATCCTGAAGGTTGCGGACAGGCTAAGCACAGTGGTAAGAACCACCTTGTTTACGATCGATGACAGTATTCACAACTTCTGGAATAAGGTGGTTGGCCAGCCGGAGGCTGTTGAAGCTGTCGCGAACACAGTGCAATATATGTGGGCGGGCTTCAAAAATCCACGAAGGCCTATTGCATCGTTCCTTTTCGGTGGTCCATCAGGGTCCGGGAAAACGCTGCTCGTGAAGGGAGTGAGTGTTGCTGATCATTAACTGATGCTTACTTCTTATGTGCCTACCCACTGTACAGCTTTCCGAGATCGCACTTCGACAATCTGGCAAGTTGCTACGCATCAATGCCAGCGACTACGTCGAACCGCACAGTCTCACGCGTCTGGTGAGCAGCGTGAGGTTAGCTAGGGTCCTGTAACCTTAAATCATGATTGTCAGATTGGAACTCCCGCATGCACGGGTTTCGACCATGGTGGTCAGCTGACTGAATGTGTCAGACGAAAGCCATTCTCTGTCGTGCATATTAAAGAGTAGGTGTGATGCTATCTGGTTATTCATGGTCCTTATGAAAGCCTCTTTTTCGCCTAGCATCGAGCGGGGTTGCGTGGAATTCAGGCTGCTCATACAGACCATCCTCGATGAAGGAACAATCAAAGATGGCGATCGGAATGTTGTTGATTTCACGTGAGAAACATATGTGTCGTCTATCCTCTTCGGTCAGCTAAGGGACTTGCACACCAGCAATTGCATCATCGTCATTTCGACGAGTCTTGGCCAAGCGAGCGTGGGGCGCGCTATATCGGAAGAGACGGAACGCAAGCGCTTCATGAACGAGATTGAGAGCCATTTCCCCGGCGAATTTCTGTCACGCCTTGATAAAATAGTGATATTCGTGCGTTTATCACCTTATTTCAATTGACGAGCATAAATGTTCTTATAGACTGTTTATCTAGCGCCGTATGTCTGGAGCCACCCTGGTTACAATAATCCACGCTCGCCTGGAGGAACTGAGAAAGCAATTGTCCCTTATCAACCTCCAGCTGTTAGTCCATGACGCAGTGAAGAGTCGTCTACAGTTCCAGGCTGCGTTGATCCGTGTAGGCTGCGCACGATGGTTAGATCGATTGATTCGATCAGAGATCCTGGAACCCCTCGCAAAGCTCCTCCTCAAGAACGATGTGCCTGAAAATAAGATCGTTGTCTTGGCCATTGACGAAGACATACGGAAAATAACAGTCAGGCTTGTTGAGGGGGGACCTCCTATACCAATCACGGAACCAATGCCAAACTCGCCTGTGCCATCATCGCCTTCTGCATCTTACTGCAGCTTCGACACAGACGAGCATTGGGAGGATGGATCTACAGATTCGCATAGCGTAGACGAAGAAGAGGATGAACACCATTATGAGAGCTGGGCACCGCGCTCCCTGCGACCATTGGGTCCCCCGGCCCTTAGCCCACTACCACAGAGGCTATTCTGAGCAGTATCGTAGCAGTTGATACGGGTATCACGAACTCGATGTGGACGTACGACAGTTTTGTACAATGTATTAAATATTCGTGGGATCAACACGCCGAATACGCGCAGTATCCGGGTAATGAATCAAATTTCTGTTCCCCCGGTGGCCACGCTGGCTGCTGGTTCATTTGGCGAGAAGCCTGTACACGACCAAAGTGTTTGCTGTAGACGTTTGGCGCGAGCGGGACGAGAGGACAACGACTAGATAGGACAAATGATCTCAGTCTTGGGGACAAGCCCTCTGGTATATTAGATATGTACCTAGATAGGACAAATGCTATTGGTACTTGTGAGCTTGGTAAACAATACGAAACGTTGAGTAACTTACATCTCAGTCTTGGGGACAAGCACTGAGATGTTTCTCCGAACGACGCGCTATTTTATCATGCGGGAGAATCGGGAGAACGAGGATAGAAAAACTAAATGACTTTAAGACATTGCACTCGGCCGATGTCACAAACGTCCGCATGACGGATGCGCTCGTACCTTTCACTCCGGCGTGTCCGACGACTCTACTCTCGACACTCCCCCTCGAGCGCATTCCAGCTTCATCAGTCCTCGCAACTTCTCGAGTCTGGGACGTGGTAGGGCTTTGGTGAGGGCGTCCGCGACATTCTCCTCAGTAGGGCAGTAGGTGAGCGCGAAGGTGCCGTTCTGGACATGGAAACGGACAAAGTGATAGTGTAGGTCGATGTGTTTAGTACGGGAATGGAATTTGTTGTTAGACGCGAGGGCTATCGCGGCCTGATTGTCGCAGTACACTGGCGTAGGAGGGGATGGGGACTCGTACAGCTCTTCAATGAGCAGCTGCAGGTACATGATCTCACGACCTACGGTGGTCAGGGTGATGTATTCGGCTTCAGCGGTAGATAGAGCTATGAGTGGTTGCTTCCGGGCGCTCCAGGCAACAGGACCATCTGCTAGTAGCACGATGTAGCCGGTCATCGAGTGCCTATGACATCACCAAAATTACCAAATTCAGAGATGGTCATATATTACCATGTCGGAGCTACTACACCTGCCATAAGTATCTGGCGCAAGTCGTCAATGTCGGACAATGTACGGAAACTAAAATTCCGCCATTCTCACTGCCATATGATATCAGTCTGACATTAGTTTAGCGTTCTGATATACTAGACATTTCAATATACATCAGGCATTTGATTCTCACTCAGATTAATCAGACATTCCAATCGCGTTCTGATATGATAAAACATTGCATTAAAACATGATATTACAAAGTATTGAAGTACAATGGAGTGTATCGTTCCGAGCATATGGATGTGAATGCGGTCAATCGAGAGCGGACACCAGAACAATGTGAGAAATACATGAGTCAGTAGCATACAACAGTGAGGAAATGAAAGCGAGAATATAAAGATAACACACGAGTATCAGCCTGTGAGCAATGTGAATGAAAAGAAACATGCAATGAATTCAGTAGTGGTTGCTAGCGACTATTTCCTCGAACTTTTTCGCACTGCTGTTGATGCAGGTGCCTTGCGCTTTGAACGGCCACCAGCCTGGGGATGAGATTGTTATATTCAATAAAAACTCCAGCATGTTCTGGACTTACCTTCTTACCCTTGCGTTTGATTGGGACACGCTCGGAATCCTCATCGTCCTCGGCTTCTGTCAGATCACTCAGTGCATGTGACTTGGCACGTGCAGGTAAAGCAGGGGGAGCTGGGGTTGGCTCGCGTGGTGGAAGTGGAGTTGGCTCACGAGGTGGAGCTGGAGTTGGTTCGTGAGTGGAAGGAGCTGGTGTGGGGACTGCCTTGGCTGCACGATGTGCTGCCATTTGAGCACGGACTCTTGCTAGGTCGGTATCCCTGCTTTCACGAGAGCCGGAGGTTTTCTCGTTGTCTCTAGTACCATTGCTGTCACGGCCCTCCTCATTCTTGAATATTTTCCTTAAATAAATTACGGTTAGCGTGAACCTCGAGAATATAATAAAACCTTACACATTCCAAGCTTTGAGGAGGTCTTCTTTCCACTCTGGGTCAGGTGAATCTTCAATCAGCTCGATAATGTTGTTGTAGAACTCCCGGTAGTTGAAGGCACCGTCAATTTCGGACCATGCATTCTTGGCGCTGATACCAAAACGAACCTGAATAAAATTGAGCAGCTCATCAGTATGTTAAGTTTGAAGTAATCAAACCTGTAAGCAGCCATAGGAAATATGAGCTGCTTCCACCGTCGTCATGTCGTGTAAAGTGGCGTTGCAGGTGCGTGTCGCGCGTGTCTCCCCTCCATATGCACTCAAGGGACTCGTAAAAATGTGCCGCATAGTCTTGAAAGGAATATCAATCTAGAACAATACCAAAAAAAAAAGCCTACCCGCTCCAGTAAGTAGCCATCAAACATGCCTTCGAACATGTTGTCGTCGTCATATTCTTGACCTGGTGGGTCTCCGGCCCATAGAAATGCGGGAAGTGCAGATGCAGTCAAGTTTACCTTGCCGCATTGAATGTCTTTAAGTGCCCTACGAAATGTGAGAGTAATGTGAGGTGATTTCAAAAAAAACTCACTTGTCAGCGTCCTCTGAAAATCTTTTGAGTTCCCTGACTGGACAGAGAAAGCGCGCTAGAACAGGGTGGTTGATACCCAAGTGGGTACGCGAACCACTTCCGTCGTATATGGCTGGACGTATTGGGTGGTCTTTGGTGTTGAAGGCCACATAATGGCCGATTTGACTCTTCAGACGTGAGGCATCGTCAGAGCGAGTACCCGAGATAGTAGCATCCATCTGATGATCAAATAAGTAGATAATATATGCATATATGCGCATACACTCACCTTCTTGATGATATCATTGAGCTCAGAGGCTTTACGAGGGTCACCGAGTAGAGGTTTCAGACTTGGAGCGAGGCGAAGTAGCCGCGCATAGTTCCTCTTGTATTGTTCTTGAACTTGAGGTGATCTGAGACGATAAACGAGTTAGTCCATGGTAAAATTTGAGATCGACTCACATCTTCGAGAGCCGCGTCTCTCGACAAGCCTGGGTGTCTTCATCTTCTGATAGATCACCATTCTCTGCAGCATCGCGCTGCTGCAGAGCCAAACCTACATTAATCAATTGTTTTGTCTTACAAAACACATCGATGCAACGCGCTATACAGCATGCAGCGGCGAGAAATTCCTCGTCAGGATCAATATCGGACTCTTTTTTCCTATATTTAGTTGTTGTCAATGATCAGAATGTTTGAAATGAATTAATAGACTCACCTCGCCCTTTTCTCATCATTATCCGACGAACGACGTCTTTTCTTGGGCCTCGTGGCCTTCTTTGAAACCTTCTTCGAAGGTAAGGGGTCCACTGGTGATACCGAGTTCAAGCTACGCGAGGATGCTGATGAATCCGACGAGGTAATCGAGTCAGAGCGTTTATGACGTGCCATGGTGGGTGTGTGTGGAAAGAAAGATAAGGTTGTAACATTTGACGCGTTATTAATGTTTGTTTGTCAATTTATTAATGATTCCGACGTGACTATGGACTCAACAGTGATATTATATGCGTGACAAGAAGTTCGAACTTCTTGTTTTGATATGCTCGCATTCCGATCACTCAGTACTCAACCCTCACCTGTCCTTGCAATCACAAAGCTCTTTCTGCAAGCCGCAGCCCTGGGTAATGTTTCAATTTATTTGTATAACACTGACATTGTTTTCTCTCTGTCATTTCAGCGCCGAGAACGTGCTCCGTTCAAATCCGGGCCGCATCATTCGCACTATGCATTCAAGCCTTCCTGCCATTCCTGTATCCTGCCCTCAAAGCACACGAAGATACTCAGTTGTGCGTGGTCGCCATTGGCATCAGTTCTCACCCCTCTCATCAACCAGGCACTTCTCCCGTCCCATCAACAACTCCGCATGGCTTGCCCCACAGGAAGGAGTTGCAGTATGGATTGTGAGCCGGATACTCTAATGCCGGCATCAGTGAGTGTGGAGGATTGGGTTCTAAGGTGCATCCCATTGATTCTTATCACTTGTTCTGGCATTGACATAACCTTTGTAATGTTTTATATCTGAAGCTGCTGCCGCCCTCCCTAATTGACCTAAGATTTGACTGGTGTTGGGGTAGTCTACCTTATGCAGGACACGTTGCGGTCCTTGTGTCCTCGAATGTCACTAATGGGTTTCCATAATGAGGTGCGTCCATATGGTTCACACTAGTTGTTAAAGTACTGATACAGCCTTACATGATTTAGTAGCATTTGTATTTTAGATAGTTCGAAACCAATATAATTGATTCCTCCCCATTTTTCGTCTGAAGTCCCCCACTCTCTCTACTCCCCATGGATGCGCTCACTTGCCTGGGATGTGGGAAGCCTTTCAACAGTCAGAGGCGCTTGAGCGCACATGAGACACTGTGCGATACTCACCGTGAATTTAGCAAACAAGTCAGCAAATTTTACCGGTGTGTTGAGAAGAGCCAAAGGAATAAGAGGCGAAGAATCAATCACTGAGACCACCAAGATGTCTTGGATGAGGTTGATGGGATTCCAGATCCCCTTGAAGATATGGGTGATATGGAGACTGACAACTGGGATCTTCAGGTATATTTTCGGTGTTTGTCCATTTCTTGACTAATATATTTCAGGATGACAATATTCCTGGACCCTCGCAACGATCCCCTGCACATTCCCCACCATTACCTGAGTCCAGCACGGCTCCCCGGCGTTCCAATCGCTCTGGGCGTGTTATACGCATGCCCAGACGATTTGATGACTTTATTCCCGGCGAAGATGTGCCTGAGGTAGCTCGGGCTGATGAGACCGTAACTGAAGAGGTGCATCATGTCGGTAATGAACTTATTTCTTTTCAGACAGAGCCAGATGAAATGGGACTATACCAAGCCTACACTACTCGTCCCACTTTGTTTCCACGGTCCTCCCTCAATAGCATATGCGACACACCAATGTTGCAGCATGAGACTGGGGAAGATTCCAATAATACTCCGTCTCGCCTTCACACTGGCCCCCCCATCTCATTTTCCATCACTCCCAATAACCTCTACTCTGCTTTCAGTAGTCCAACCGCCGGTCTACTGATGTGCTGGCAATACTCCAGCTCAAATCTGATTTCTGATGCTGCTTTGCAGCGACTCACAACATTCCTCGACGACGACACTTACAATAGGGACGACATAAGAATTTTCAGTGCCACCCGAGAGAAGAAACTTATTGCAGAGTACCTCGAGGACCGGTCCAACCCTTTCAGTGCTAGGAACGGGTGGAAAGAGTCGTCAGTTCATATCCACCTTCCGAAAGAAAAAACAAAGTGGCCATCAGAACGTGATGCCCCTGAGCTCGAAATTAAAGGTGTGTGCCATCGATCGTTGATCGATATCATCACGGAAGTATTCGAAGACGGCGCAGCGAGAATGTTCCATATGACGCCATTTCGTCATATGTGGAAAGTCTCCGAAGAACGGAGCATCAAAGTCTATTTGGAGGCATATGCTTCGCCTGCGATGATGGAGGCCTACGTTGAGGTCAACTCTCTTCCCCGTGAACTGGACGACAATCTCGAACGTGTCGTAGCATCACTCATGATGTATTCCGACTCGACACACCTTTCAAATTTTGGCGATGCCTCCCTCTGGCCATTCTATGTATTTTTCAGTAATGAATCTAAATACACACGTGGGAAGCCTACCGCTTCTGCATGCCATCACGTCGCGTACATCCCTACAGTAAGTCTTTTCAAATCACTTGAAGTAACCTTTATTTATGAAACATTCAGATTCCGGACGATTTTCAAGACTCATATTTTAAGTTATTTGAGGATGCGTCTTCGCCGGAGGTGTACACACACTGCAAACGCGAGCTTATGCAGGCAATATGGAAGCTCCTTCTCGACGAAGAGTTCATGCATGCCTATGAACATGGCATCGTGATCCGTTGCGGAGACGGCATTATTCGCCGAGTGTTTCCTCAATTTTTTACATATTCTGCTGACTACCCCGAGAAGTATGTGTTTCTTTTGATTATCACACTTCTTATATTGATGTGAGATCAGGATCTTGCTCGCTGGAATCAAGTTTCTCGGTGAATGTCCTTGCCCACGCTGTCTGATCAAGAAGGCAGATGTACCCAGGATGGGAACAGAGGGTGATATGCACGACCGATCGACACTTCAACGTGTTGATGATCAAGCCCGTTGTAACAAGATTGATCGCGCACGCAAGCTCATTTTCCAACGCGGTGCACCAGTGGACAGTAAGCGGGTCAAATCGATCCTTAATTCTGAGTCCCTCGTGCCTACACGTGTAAGTACTTGATCATATGTTATTTCCAACTTGTTGCTAATCAAACTTAGAATGCATTTTCAGATCAGCTTCTCGCCTTCGGATTTAATCTATTTTTGATGTTCGTCGTGGACATGCTACACGAATTCGAGCTTGGCGTATGGAAGGCTATCTTTACCCACTTGATGCGCATCACACATGCTGCCGGGGGTAATGTGGTGAAGGATTTGAACTGGAGGTACGTTGTTTTTTCATTATTATCATTACTGACTACAGAACTATCTACATCAGGTACCATCGTGTTCCAACATTCGGGAGAGGAACGATCAGGCGTTTCCACAGGAACGCCTCTGCAATGAAACATCTTGCAGCGCGAGACTTCGAAGATCTGTTGCAGGTGAGTATCTATGATCATTTCGAACTTCATTTATAATTGATTTCAAATTTGATTTCAGTGCGCCATCCCAGTCTTCGAGGATCTACTGTTAGATCCCGATAATGATAGGATAATTCTGGACCTTCTGTTTGACCTCACTACCTGGCAAGCTTACGCCAAGCTTCGTCTACATACTGAAGACACTCTGGATTTTTTCGACTCAGCAACAGTTGTCCTTGGCAAGAGTGTTCGCAAGTTCCAACGGACAACTTGTGAAACCTATGTCACCACGGAATTGCCTCATGAACATGCTGCTCGGGGGCGTCGACAAGCTGCACTGGCTGCCAGGCAGGGTCTGTCAGCTAAGGCGAAGGGGGGTGCATCACACCCAAAGGTAAAGAAACTTAATATCGAGACATATAAGTTTCATGCGCTTGGAGACTACCCTAACACGATCAGAATGAGGGGGACAACTGATAATTACACCACGCAGCCAGTGAGTTTTTTTTTTCATTATTTTTCATATATTTAGTTCTATTACAGGGTGAACTAGAGCATCGGCGTCTCAAAAGACGCTACCCTCGCACCCCTAAAACCAAAGCTACTATGACTGCAAGCATCGCGAATCAAGACGCTATTGAACGTCTCTGTAGCAGGGTCATCAATGCTCGGGCACAGCTTGCTGCCCAGCATGGTAACAATTCACGTCGGCGCGAGCGGACCTCACCATCAGAACATTACCACATCGCCAAGTCTGCTCGTACAACTTACGACCTCACAGCATGGTTAGGTGAGCTGGGTGATGATCCGGCAGTCAAGGTACGTATTTTTATTTTTATTTTTCAAGTGTGTATCTAATACAGTGATATAGAACTTTATTCCTCGCCTAAAAGACCATCTGTATGCTCGTCTGCAAGGTCTTCTGTATGAAGGCAACGAGCACGACTTCACTGATGCAGAGCGGAACTCTGTTCTTATCACTGACAATAAAATATTCGAACACAGCATTCTTTGGGTCAACTACACAACGTACGATCTTCGGCGCGAGCAAGATTCTATTAACCCCTGCACTCGTGCTGACCTCATGGTCATGTCACACGAAGAAGAACGAACTCATCCCTACTAATACGCCCGCCTCATCAAAATTTTCCACGTCAATGTGGAATACTACGAAACCCCTGATTCGGTACGGTCCCGTCCGAAACGAATGGATGTTCTATTCGTTCGATGGTTTAAACATGATGACAGTGCAGCCGGCTTTGCTGCGAAGAGACTCCAGCGCCTCCAATTCTTCGAGGACGAAAGCCCCGATGCATATGGATTTCTTGATCCGGAGTGCGTCATTCGGGGTGCTCATATCATTCCGGGTTTTGCTTTTGGCCGTCCCGAAGGACTTCTTCTTCCAACGATCGGACGGCGCGAATCAGATCCCGATTGGGTGTTGTATTATGTGAACATGTATGTTTATTATTTTTATTCACCATTTATCTACTAACTATATGCACGCTACTTAGGTTTGTAGATAGAGATATGTTTATGAGATTCCGAGGGGGCGCCATCGGCCACAAGGGTATGCGGGAGTGGGACGACATTTTGCAGCGCGAGGGACACATTGCTGAAGATTCGGATGATGAAGCCGCTATCACCGAGGAATCTGATGAAGCTGATGAGGGTGATACTGATGAGGATGAGGAGGAGGAAGACAACTTGGAAGATGAGGAGGCTGAAGAGGACGAGGATGACGATGATATCTTGATGGACGAGGAGGAGGACGAGATTATGGCTGACGATGGCGAGGAACTCGATGACAACATACTTATGGAGGAAGGCTATGGCGCGCTTTAGGTACTTTACTTAGCTTTCACTCAATTTTCGTCACTTACACTATATAATACATTGGATGTATCGGGATGTATCTGACATATGTCTGACAGCTGGTATGTTTGATGTCATCGTGTCGCGACGATATTTCAAATGTCGGATATCACAGGTATGTGTAATTGGCAGCGTCAGAAAATTCAATATATCATGTGATCTCTGAATTCGGTAATTTTGGTGATGGAGCTTGGGACGCCCAGTCAGCATCAATGTACATCAGGAAAACGACAGATTCCTTATTTCACCTTATGTTACTTAATTTCTGTTAGGAAGATTTTTCAGCCGACTTAATCATCACTTTTTCTACTTGTGAAAAAGCAGTTCGAGCTTCTAAACAAGTTCATGTGCGAAGTTCAAAAAAGCTGGAAACAAGTGTCATAAGCAAATGCTAGACCGAAAAAAGTCTAAAATGCAATTTCAAAGGAGTGATGATCTGCATATTTGTTAACATAAAAACGGTGGAAAATATCATAGGTCTGATGGTGGTGATGTTGCGCAGGAATAACTTGAGTACCATATACAGGAATAAGGTGTGCGGCGCGGTAGATTGAATCAATATGTATGACGGAAATATGGGGCATGTTGTTGTTATTATGAGCAGGCTGTACAACCCACATTCCAGTGTCTTCGTTCGGCGAGTCTCCAATGGTATCAAACCACTGCACAACTGCACATGAGTATAATTTTCGCTTGTAAGTAAAAGAAAAAAATGTCAGTACTCGTGCAACATCCATGCCCCTCATACCATCGAGACCTGGATTCGTGTTGACGAAGACACAATCAAACCGAGGATGCTCGTTTCTCCATATCGGACATGCACGAATATACTCACGGCGCATGCCCCCAATACCGCTGAGATCACTTGGCGCAAAAAATCTTGAACAAGCAGAGTTGAAAACACTGATTTTGTCGTCGAATTGGGGACAGTAAGCTAGGGGAATCTCTGATGGATCACGGGGATCATTGTGGTTGAGTTGACCGAAGAGAAAGTGTCGCAGAAGATTCGAGAGATGTGGGATTGATAATTCAATTGCTAATGCAGCAATGGTGCGAGCACGTTTATATTCTAAATCATATGTTAGTGTAGTTTGAAAGTGACAGGTGCTTAATGACTCACGAGGTGTTTTGGCCAACTCCACGTGTGCTTCGACATTTGTTGGTCCATCGTCGACTTCATTATCGTTGTCGTTGTCATTGTCCACTGTGGTATTGACAGCCTGAGTGTTGGCAGCTTCATCTGGTGCCGTGAGATTGAGGGTGTGCAGTCGTTCTATTTGAGTATCAGTGAGAGTACAATAACAATATAGTATTTTACTTACCCACTTTGAGGACAGCTGCAGAAAGGCACGTACCATTAAGCATCTTGCGTTGAGTAAAATCAGCGCGTGATGCTGTGAGCTTGTTGAGGCGTTGATTTGTGACCAACATTTGGCCCAGTGCCTCGTACCGACTGGAGCGCCTCCACAGCTCCTTCACTGCTTTGATATGCTTAGCTTCGGTGATCGAAGAGCATAAACCATTCAGGGCCCCAAAAAGTCGAATGAGGTGTATGTAGTGTTGAAGGGAATGCTGGCGAGGGAGTGAGAATGTTGAAATAACATCGAGTGTTTCAAAAATTTGCTGGCACCGATGAAACCGGTCAAGTGCCTCCTGGATTTGCTCGAGCGTCTTCTCCGTGATTATGCTGCGTCGGACAAGATAACAAAATTCGAGAAAGGCTCGAAATGTCCAGACCATATCCACAGGGACATATCCCTCAATAGCAGATAAGTATACCTATAACAATATGTCAGTAAGATATTAGTAGTCTGATACACAAGAAACATACCTTCATAAGTGCTTTCAAGTCATCACCCGTCCACTGCTTGAAGCCTTGTCCTTGTGGGAAGCGCCAAAGACCAGCAAAGGCCGGAACAGCAGCGATTCTAGACACAACTAGTTCAATAGATAGTACCCATGATGAGATGAATCATTTACCTTCGATCAATATCATCTATGATGCGCTCAGCATCTTTCTTCGAGTGTGCCTGGTATAGGTACTTCTCGATCCAATCGACCAGGTGGTCTTTGAATGTCCCTTTGATAAGCTGGTGAAGGATATCGGGGGCAATGAGTTCATGGATGTCGGCTCGAGCAAAATCATTCATAAAGGGCTGATATAAAGTGTTAATGCATCATGAAACATAGTGCGAAAGGTAGGGCTTACAATGAGATCACCAACAATGCCATATTCATCCCATAAGGCATCGAGAGTACCCTCCTCGACAAGCACATCTGTATGATGATGACAGCGCCAACCGGCTGGCTCGTCTAGATTGATACGTGAAGACAAACATCTGTACAATCATTAATTTAAGTAGATTAAAGAAATGAACAATTACACACCTTGGGCACCAACCACGCATGATGCACGTCAATAAGACTTGCTCCTCGTAGTCAGCAATATATGGTCCCAGACCATATATCACACGGCGGAAATGTCTGTCACCAAAACGTGCAACTTCATACTTGGTGATACCAGGACGAAGTGTTTCGAGAATCTTGGAGAGTGAACAGTGAAACAATTGCCGGCGAAACTTTCGGAACTTCACATCACTAGTCGCATGTTCCTTTGTTGCTAACTCAGATAAGCAAACAGCACATTTAAGAAAAACCAAGCTTACTTTTGGGAATAGCGAGAAAGGCGATAATACTAACTGCGTCTCGGTGGGCTCGTCTAACGTTATTGCAAACATTGCCAATAGATGCATAGAGTGGGTAATATTCGTTGTTTCCTGTTGCAACAGAAACTGTAGTCTTGTCACTGCCTAAAACAACCGGTACGAATGTGGATCCATGTGATTCTGGATCTTCGGAGATTATGTCCTGGCAGCAATTGTTAGATTCAAAGGAGTGATCAAGAAATTGAAAGACTTACGGCCTGATCCCATGCCCAATCACCAGACATAAAGTCCTTCCACTGACGCTCGTCATCATCAGTTGAGAACTCGCGGTAGGGTCTGTAATCAAACTCTTTGGCATAGTCGGGATTTGCAAGCATGTTGCGGATGACCTCTCGTGGATCACAGTACCAGACATCAAAGACTTGATCCATCCATGGCGGTGCATCAGTGTCTGGTTTTTTGCCATTGTAGCGAACTGAAAACGACTGCCACTTCACATCCCCAAGTGGTGTTCTGTCGATGGTTTTGTAAAGGTCGCGAAAGTCGGCAAATGGAGGCTTGTCGTCATGTTTCTTGAGGGTTGAGGCCCAGAGATCAAGGAGTTTATTGATCTGACCTGCAGGCATCTGATTCTCGGTAAATAAATACTCTGCTGTTTCAAATTCGACACGATTTCGGTAAGGAGTCCAGTCAGAGGAGGATTTATCAAAGAGTGGTTTAGGTAGGCTTCCAGGGGGGAGAAACATGCCATTATCATCACAAGGGTGGGCTAAAAGAATGTACATTGTTAGAAAATTGATCTAATAACGAAGTGAAGCATTTACCATCAAGGTCCTTGTGAAAGTTCCGATATAAGCAGTCTCCTGGCCCCCAAAACTCAGTGTCAATTCTCGGAGCTGGTGAGTTGTGCGTCCCGTCATGTCCCATCAGATTCAACCAATTGTTCTCGACTTCTTGAAAGTCAAACTGCGGCTCATGTGGTTGCGCAGGGGCCGGATAGTAAGGCTCTTCTAGCTCTTCAGAAACACTGGCATGGTAAGAGTTAGGTGGCTTTGTGATTGTAGGATGGGCTGAATTCCAATGTTTGGTTTGTCCCGCTTGAGTTTTGAAATAGCACTGACAATTGGAGCGTCCACAAGGGAGTTGGAGTGCATTATGGTCTGGTCGAGAGTTCCGGTTCCTTTGAAGAATATCAACTGTGTGTAAAAGCATGAAAAAACAGGGCACGTACATAGTTTATGCTTAGCACCAAGAAAATATGGTTTTGGTCCAAAGTAAACCATGCTTCGAGCCTGAGTGCCATGGTCATAATCAATAACACGTTGTCCGTGTTTGGGATAAGGGTAACACACTTAGAAGTTTTCACCGAACCTAGACCATTTCCTGCCGCTCTCTGCTACCTGCAAATTTCTGCCTGTCTCACTTGCAGCTCCTCACCCGCATCTTTCATATCAATATGCCTTCCCAACCTGCTGACACTACCGTAACTCGTCGTACTCGTCCCTCCAATGCAATTGCACATCCTGGTGCGATCCTCTTGCAGGCAAAGAAGACCTGACATACGGCCGAAGAAGTTGCTGCTGCTCGAGCAGAAAAGGCAGAGCAGGCTGCAGCACGGGCCGCAGCTGTTGAAGCAGGAGCTAAGCGCATTGCTGGTATAGAGCTGGAGATGGAAGCCAAACAGACGAGCATGCTGGCAAGGAAGGCTAAGGGAGTTCGGCCTCGTCCAATTCCCGCCAAAGGCAAGAAGGTGGCTGTAAAGGATGGTCTGAGTCAGGCGGATGTCACAGCAGCCTATGGTGAAGGCGATGAGGTCAGAACCAACTTGAATCAAGAGCCAGAGATTCTTACCGGCTCATGTGCAGATGGGTCTCAAGGATGACTCCAAAAAGAAGATTACCAAAGTTTCGATGAAGGATGCTGTCAATCAAGCGCGTGAGCAAATCAAACAGACAACTTCTGCTGATGGCGGAGATAAGGATGCACGTGTCCATAAGAAGGGTGACTCAATGGATGTCACAGTGTAGGTTTCCCTAAACCTTCTCATCATGCTCCTGCTCACCGAATCAACAATGTTCTTCCTCAATTTAACTTTGAACCATAGGAACAAGCCTGAGTATACTTTTAGCAGCAAAGTTAAGAGCTGGGTCTCAGACGTCGACATACCCATCAAGAATCAGAATGCACCGCTGAGTCATGTGACTCACACATCGCCTCCTCCTTCAACAGTTTTTTCTCGTCTTACAGGCTCTTCCAAGACAACTCACAGTGAAATCCTGACTGGTATTCTTAACAGTCCTCAATGTTCAGGTGTAGATGAGGATATACCAGGAGGTTTTGCTGATGACGAGGATGAGGACGAGATTGACAAATTGGAACGCCTGGCTGCACATGGAATCACTACCAAGGAAGGGCGGTCAGCTGCAGCAGTAATGTTTTAATTTTTAGCTTTCGAAAAACATCTGACATTATTATTCAAAGACGGTGCTGACTCTCACCATTGATGACTCTGATGATGAGTTGGAGATTCCAGCAGAGTTTCGTGCTCTGTTCACCCAGCCTTCACCAGTAGGCTTGCCTAAGGCTTCCTTTGCAGTTGGCAACCTCAAAAGGAAGGCCTCTGAAGGGAGTGAAATTGAAGATTTAGATTTTTTGTCGGTTGATGCCTGTGAGTCAATACTGATCGTTGACATTGATGCTATCAGACTCACTGCACCTTTAGTTGACAATACAATGGAAATCGACCTACCGGACAAGAGTGATCTGACGTATGAAGTGAAGCCTGGAAAGCCCCCCCATATCACAAGCTCAGTGAGAATTTAATAATATAGAGTTGTCCTTTCTGATGCAATTTTTTTATTAGACGTCAGTCGTGACCACAGACACCAAACCTGCTCTCACTAAGAAGGCAAAGGTAGAATCACTTAAGGTTTCAACATCTCTTCACGCTACTCCTGCCAAACCCAAGGAGCAGTCAGTCAATGTTGACACGCCACATGACAACTTGAAGCCTTGAGCGCAATATCGAAACACCGACCTTCCTGAACAAGTCCAAACGGACCACCGTTGGGCTAAAAAATTCCTTCCGACAATGATGTTGTGGGCCGGCAGCCAAGAATCCCTCTGGAGCATCCCAGATGAAACTCTACTGACACATATCCAAATTGCATTTCAGGCAGTCTACCCAGAGCTTAACCTTGTCATTGTTCAGAACGGTGCTGTTTTCTCACTCGTACGCTCTTGTCATGCCAGATGTCTACAACACCTCCTTACTACTTATCTGTTCTGACTCACAGACTGTCCAACGGCTTTCTGAGTGGCGGAGCAACTTCAGCTCTACGGCCATCGCAATCATCTTCGATTTTCTGACGAGCAACAATGACTGTGACCCAGAGGTTCTTGCAGGGCTCCTCTTGAAGAATTTCGCCTTCATCTTCAAGGACATGGACAAGTGCGAGCCTGACGGGGCGTTCCACTCTGCATTTATGCTGCAGCTCCTTGGAAAGGCCCACCTTAGCACCATTAATGGCCATGCTACCATTCCCGCATTGAAAACCAAGGACCTTGCAACAAAAGGGATGGCTGGTGTTATTGCATTTTGTGCTACAGCGGTCTGTTCATTTTCTTGTTAGCAATGCTCCAAGTCCCACTCAAATAATTCACATAGCTTGAGCGTGCCATCACATTGATTTCAGATGGCGATATCAAAGTCGAGGACATCTTAGCATCAACCTCAGCACACAGCAAGTTGAACATCAAGCTTCCCAAAGTACTCAACAAGGTCACCAGGAAGGTGACAAGTGCTCCATATCTGTTTTCACGCGATCTCTGGGGTTAAGCAAACACTGGGTACATGAAGAGCATCAAGAAGAAGGGCCTGGACTTCGTCAAAACCACAGTAGACATGGCGCGGTCAGCTTTGAACAAAAGTAACGCTGCGGATGCAGGCATCTCTGAGAGCTCTGATGATGACCGTGCCTTCTTATGTATGTATGTACGACGTTATCTTATTCAAGCTGTGCCTCTGTCTTAGTTCGCAAATTTTTATTTTATTTATATTTTGCTGATTTGGTGGATTTGGCAGAGCTGTTCTCTGATGGCATCTGTCCATGGGCCTTCTGATACCATCCTTAACTTGCTCGGCGGACTACTATTATCACCACTCGTTATACATCCCATCCTGTGCTATTTTCTACCAGTACTAGACTACTGGTACTGCTTTCCCACTATCGGTTCACGTTCATTTTTTTCTGGTTTTATCTTGCTTAATTGCTTTTGTGTCATGCTTTTCTGAATGGACGATGCCTTTTTTCTGATGCAAAAAGTAAACTAAGTCAGAAATAAGTGAGAATTCAGACGACGAGTGGCCTTTTTCCACTTCATGGCCACTTATTTTAGCCTTTGCTTATTTCACCTTATTGAATGTGAAAAAGTGACAATAAGGTGAAATAAGGAACTTGTCGTTTTCCTGATGTAGGCTTCTAAGCCTGTATCCAGCCCGCCAAGCCACCTATACTTCCCATATTTCCTTCTTAGTAAAGAGGCCAAACGGGACATATATGTCCCCTTTAGTAAGCTAAAATCTCGTTCACACTGAGCACCGGCAGTTGATACCAGCCAAAAACCATGACTTTACCGCTCAGGCTATTTACTATTCTCGCATGCTATGTTTGTTTATCGTTTGTTGGTGCTAATCAACATTCCCGCGCTCCTGTTTCACCTGCCCTCACTGTCCATGACAGCGAGCTCAACAGCTCCTTCAGTAGTCATCACTTCTGCATATTTTTGTGCATTGCTTGCTGCGTACCCTGTAGCCCATCACAGTGCTCTGTCTACCCTCTGGTCCATCCTATCCGCCGTCGTTATCTGAACACCCTCTGTGACACTTAGACTCTGTTATTTCCTGTCTGTTATTCTCGTTCTTCCTATCTGTTGTCTTCCTAATGTATTTCTAACAATTCTATAGTGCCAGGAGCCCGTTAATCATCAGTACCATCCCTTTGATCACTCTATTAGCATTCGTTTGGCTTGGCGAACTGGCAGTGCTCGTACTTCCCTTCTAGTCGCCACTGCCATCTCCAACCACATCTCATGGTCAGGTCCTCACGGAATTCATTGGGTGGTATATCCTGTCAGTGCATCGTGCAAGTCGGTGGTAGTAAGGCCAAGACCCTGTGAGCAGGCAGCATTCGGCAGCGTGAAGACCAAGCAAAGTTATTTCATGCAGAACTACTAAAAAGTATGCTTCAACATTCTTTCGTTTAATGCAGCTGATCATCACGTAGAGTTGCCTCTGCACGAGCGAGAGCAACTTTTAGCTTCTGAGTCTCTTGCTACATCTCAAGCACCCTCGCATGCCAATACGGACCCTTGTATGTCTATTGAGAGGTCACCGATGCACACATCAAGTATGTTACTGTGTGCTTCTGTGCTTTCTACATTAAATTCTATTCCCAGACCCATTGATACATGCAACCACAGCCTATATATTGCCCAACGACGTGCTACATGGAACAATCAATATGACGTACTTATGGCCAACAATCTGGACTATTGTTGTCTACCGACGGACAGGTAACTCAAGTCCCTTTTTTCTTACTCTTCCTCTGCTGCTCAGAATCTATCCTAGCATCCTCAAGCGCTGCTTGTTTCTCTGTCAATTTTCTCACACATTTTGTGTATGGCTGTGGTGCCACAGCATCTGACAGCCTTTTGTTGCGGTGGAGAGGGAGCTGACTCGTTGTTGGGGGCGCGCTATCATTGTAGGCAGTATTTTGAGTATCTATTTAATGTCACGTAAATAAAGCGATATGAATGAATGATGCTTTGACATACCTCTACTGAGTGCGAGAAGACTTGGGTCTACCAGATCATCGGTGATTGAGCTAATAGGTAATGATGGCCAAGACTCCAACTGTGATCCATCTGGTAAGGTATCAAATGAATTGTGTGTGTCAATCAAAAACTCTGATGCCGAGGAAGCACCGGAGGCTGAAATAGAATCACCAAAATCACCTAATGCAGACGACAAAGGTGTAGGCTGAGAGGGCGGTGACGAGATAAGGGTAGTAGGTGGTGGTGGAAGGCGGGGCTCTGCGGATGACAAAGGTGTAGGCTGAGAGGGTGGTGACCAGACAAGGGTAGTAGGTGGTGGTGGAAGGTGGGGCTCTGCGGACGATACAGGTGTAGGCTGAGAGGGCGGTGATGAGATAAGGGTAGTAGGTGGTGGTGGAAGGCGGGGCTCTGCGGACGACAAAGGTGTAGGCTGAGAGGGTGGTGATGAGATAAGGGTAGTAGGTGGTGGTGGAAGGTGGGGTTCTGCGGACAATACAGGTGTAGGCTGAGAGGGTGGTGATGAGATAAGGGTAGTAGGTGGTGGTGGAAGGCAGGGCTCTGCAGACGACAAAGTTGTAGGCTGAGAGGGTGGTGACGAGATAAGGGTACTAGTAGGTGGTGGTGGAAGGCGGGGCTCGGTTTCGGGTGTGAGAACTGCCCCATCTGCAATTTTTTGTCGGTGTTCTTCTACTTCATCTGCTGTAATCTCAACAAAGCGGCAGGTATTGTTAGCAATGGCAGCAACAACATTCTCAAGTGCCTCAATCCCGCCCTTCAGATCAGACGGATTGGCCCATTGGGGGTGGTTCCAACCTACAAGTTTGATGTGATATTTGCGGACAATTGCAACTTCATAGCGAGTGAACTCTACAGTTGCTGATGCATCCTTGGTAACTTCACCTAGCACACTCATTAAAATTGGGGAAGATTGTGAAGGGCTAGAGAAAACTTACAAAGAGATGCTCGCAAACTGGCACGAATGTTTTGCTTCGCTTCTATGACACGATTCTTATGGTTGGTCGCTGCAGCTGTATTGAAGAAACATTAAATAAGTAATGTTAGACAAAAAAAACGAACAAGTAAAGATCCCCTTCAAAAGCATTGCACTTCCGAAGTCAGTGGCAGTACATGCAGCATCACGCCGCAGGTAGACACGCATGAAGTGCTCACAGGCAGCACTGGTAAAGAATGCCTTCGGTGTCATCTGAAAGTCAGATGTGCTGCGAACCATAAACACAAAATCCTCTATGCCAGCGCGTTGTGAAAGTGCCTCGAGCTAGGAGTATATTAAATAAGTAAGTACTAGAGGGAAAATAAAAACATACCTCGTCCCTAACAGCCTGAAAGCTTTTTGCACACTCAGTTGACTTAGTGCGAGCTGTAATATTAGGTGGACGTTTGGCAGCATGGCTTTTGAATTCATCAAACTCTGCAACGAGAGCCTTCTTTTCATCTTCCATAAGCTCATCGTATTCGGCCTTGTCCTTGATGATGTCTGACATCTTTGTGCGCCCAACTTGTGCACTATTGCCTGAAAATCATTCATCAGCAGTGTCCACAAAATTACGAACTGTACTTACCAGTGTTGGACCTAACACCCTTGAAGTGAACCCAGGCAGACCACGCACTTTTTTTCCCTCACTTTGCATGTTGAAGTTTTGAGCCCAAGCAAAACCGCTCCAGGTAATGGCGTCGAGGCTTCTTGAAAATTCGTGCGAGCTCTATGGCTTTGTCCTCTAGATAGCAAAGGACAGCTTGTACTTCACCTTCTTCAGTCATGCATTTTTCATGCCATCTGTGAGTGAGTAAGGCACGGAACTCCTTGGAGACCTTCACATAAGGCCCACGAGTACGCGTCATTAGTCGTTGTGGGTGATGAGTGCGAGGATTCATAATGAGAGCAAGCAGAGACGCAATGGATTTTGCTAATACAAACATACATCATACTTATATAGTGCGAGGGCAACAACATTATCAGATGATTACGCACATGAAAAGAAACCAGCGTCCTGCAGCATAGCCTCCGAAATTGCTTCAGCTTGTTCCATACTAAGACCAGCCTCCTCCATTAGCTTCGCAACCCACCATTTCGGTAGAGATGCCTTCTCGATATTAGCGCATATTGTATGTAATGTGTCAGGGAGCCCAAGTGTATCAATGACTTCCTCCGTTTCAGGACCAAATGATCTTAAGACCTCGTGCTGGACCTGCAACGGAGGGATTGTGCGCTGAAGTTCGGAGGAAGGTTGAACAGCTTGTGGAGATGGTGACTGCAGAGCTCTCTGTTTGCTGACTTTCATAGCTGACGGGATAACAGCGCTCTTGTTCCTAATGGGAGTAATAGGGCTGGTATCAGGGTAACCATCATCTTCATCTTCAGACTCATAGATGACCACAGGACATTTAGTAGATTTCCGCTAAGTACAATACAATGTCAGCTTCCTGCTTCTATTACATATATATTGACCTACCAAATCAATTGCCTGAATGTTTGATGTTATTGCCTGAATGTTTGTTGTGTTCGGATCTGCTGGTGCTGAAAAAATAGGGACAGCTTTCATATTCCAGGTAAGGGGTGACCCCTGTGGAACAACTGATAGAAGGGTGGTGTTGAGACCAATAAGCTGGGCAAGGCTGCTGGAAGGACAGCCTTGAACATGGAAATGGCATGATGAGTTGATGAGTGGTGCAGGGACGAGGGGGACACGGTTGTAATTCGCTGTAGAGGAACGTGATGGTGTCGTGCTAGATCCACTGGACGCTGGCCAATTGTTGAGGGTACAACAAGTAGCAAAGCGATGTGCGAGAGGCGTAGCAAAACGCTCAATGAAAAACTGAGATAGCTCTGCAACAATTTGATGTAATTCCTCATTCTCTGCAAGCACCCTTGGGTTAACGTAGACATCGGCTTTCAGTGACTCTTGGGTGATATCACCACCTGGAACAGTAGCACCAGGGTGATGGAAAAACAATGTTGAGCCACCAGTAAGCCGATCAAGTGCGGTACACTAAAGCACAGTATGTATGAGCGTAAATCAATATTTTGTTTGTTGACGTACCAGATCAAAGATAAGAGCCAGGATAGTCTTTGTGTGATCAGTGCGCATCTGCCAAAGAGCCATCCGCTGCTGTTGGTTGGTTTGCTGAGTGGGACCAGGCCGTGATGATCCCGTACAGTAGTGAGTTGAAGTAAGAGAGTGAAATTCGTGAGTAAGATTGATGTGATCGCCATCGTTGTGTAGTTGATGAACAAGTAAGGCAAGGACAGCGACTTTCCACCGTTCTTGAATGCCGTTGATGTTGGCTAAGAGTTCGGGGGGAGGAATTATGGCAAGGGCTTCGTTCAGCCCATCTACTGTTGGATCACGGCTGTAATGACTCTGATTCCATACAGGCATGATGTAGGATACAAAGATGTAAGACGAAACTTTGTGCAAGTACTTAGGCCATCCAAAAGTAGACAATTGCAAGTTGCAACGTATTTTGGTTGTGTTTGGGCATTCAATATTCTTCAGATATGACCGGTCACTTGCTCTCAATTCTCGAACAACTCTCAGAAAGTCATGCTGGGTAGCACCTTCAGCCAGTTGTGATATGCGTCATCGATGATTTCTGAAACCAACTGCTTCTTCTCGCTAATATGCTGCGTGATGAAACCCATGACCTTGGGACCAGCAACAGTGTCACTGATGCTAATGCTGAATCCATTGTAGAATAGCCAGAAATTCACGACCATCTGGATGCCCATTCTTCTGGAAGAGTACGATGACGGAACCTGAATGGGATACGACAACCTTCAACACTCTGCTGCCTGACACAAACTGACATTTGCGAGATGTTAATGTATGAACCCTTGGAACCAGCTGTGACCATCTGCTTCACATTGTTCTTCTTCTTCAGGTTCTTCTGCGCATACTGACAGGAGTCATCATGAGCGTGATTTAGTTCACGCTCTACCTTGCTCTCAAACGATTCTCAGATAGTCATGCCAGGTAGTGCCTTCAGCCGGTCATGATATGTGTCATCGATGATCTCCACAGCTAACTGCTTCTTCTCACTAATACACTGCATGATGAAACCCTTGACCTTGGGACCAGCAACAGTGTCACTAACGAAGTTGAACACTGTTAAGATTGTATGAGTATGGCAAATTGAAAAGCTACAATATTTTAACTACATATCATCAGCAGCGTGATGCTCGAGTCCATCAATATAACCCTCGACCTGTTGCATGCGTTCTCCATCATAAGGCTCCTCATTGATAATGCCTTCGTCAGTAGGAGCGCTACCATCAGCCAAAACATCATGAGCCAAACTATTACCACCAGCTGCTCCAAGTCGTGTACCTGGCCATCGTGGTCCAGAATATCCATGAAGAGTCTGAATTTGATGAATGCGTCGCTGATGCCATGAGTTCACCGACAGAAGCTGTTCCCATTGCCGACTCAGCTCAGAGGCAAGTGGCGGGTCTTCAGTGGAAAGGATAGCAATTGTGTTTGGATAGTAGATAGTGTCATCACGAATCTTTGTCATCAAATGACCAACTTCAACATTTAGCCTCTCCAGCTCTTCCTGGGCGCGCACACGATCAAAGTATTGTGCTGATGCCTGCTGATAAAGAGGGTTCGCCCACCGTTTAGTCTGGATCTGCCCATTGCTATCACATAGCAAGTCGAACTCAGCTAAAAAAGAATACTCAACTATTTGGTTCCAATCGAGCAAAGGGTAGGGTGGCATCATTTCAGCAGCGTACTTATTGTAGCGTTGAAGGGCATTTCAGATAGCAGTTGCGCGGCTTTTGAGGGCTTTGGAAATTTGAGTACGAAGTTTGTAACCTAGATAAAAAACTTCACATTAGTATCATGTCATGACGTGAACTAGAACCTACCAAGACCATTCATCTGCAACTTTGTAAGTTCCAATAGTCGCATGACAACCAATCTCTCAACATCATCGACAGCCTTGAAAAAGAGGCGGTGTGTAATATGTGACTGTGCCTGGATACGCTCTGGGTGATTAGGACCCCAACGTTCATCAATCCCCATCTGGTGCTCAAAGTCCTCGACTACTTCCTGCTTCTGGTCGCGCTTAGCAGCAGCATGTGTGTGTCGACGCTGAACATTGCCGATGTCCTTCGAGGAGTAGTTTGGCCTAAGGTCGAGCCTACCAAATTCTGTACGAGCCGCATCATAAGCGAGTCTGCCATAATGACCATTAATGTTCGTCGTAAGGTTGCTTGAGAAAAACCTACAGCGCATCCTCATATTCAACCAACGCCTTCACATAGTCAACTTCAACAGGTGCAGCATCTTTCTTGCTGCTCATTTTCTCCAACAATATCCTCTCATCATCCAAATCAGCCTCAAAAGGTGCATCAGGTCCCACCGGAGACTCAGCAAGGAATGTAGAAGTAGCAGCAATAGCTTCGAGTGCTTGAACGTAGTTGTTGTAGATAAAATTAGCTAAATTTGTTGTCAGCGCATTGTAAATTAATTAAACTTAGGACATACACAGGTTAGCATATTTGTCCATATCAGCAAAGTGAAAATGTTCATCGAGAGCTTGGTGGTGATGAAATTCGGTAGTGTTCCAAGTTTCAGGTGCTAGAGCATTAGACTCTGAAAATACACGTTCACAAGTCTCAAAATCTTCTTTACTGGCGCCAACCTTGTACTTGGAATGGTGTTGGACCTGGCAAAGGCGATTGTGAGCATGACCATGAAAGGCAGGAACCACACCATGAAGGTTGAGTTCTTTGATGTGATTTGCCAAGGAGCTGCGGGGCAAGATCTTCTCAAGCGCACATTTGATGTCGTAGCCATAAAGAATATTCTTCCCGAAAACTTCCATTAGTTTGTTGAGGCTCGCAATCGGGTATTTCATACTGTGCTGAGAGTTAGCGTTCTGCCATAATTATTCTAGAAATGATACTAACAGTTCACCACTCCAAACCATGTCACATATGGTCAGAAGAAAGCCATGACGGTAGACAGTGATGAATATTCCTGATTTCTTGAAGATTGCAAACATCTTCTTGTGTGATTCTGGCGCTGTTACGACGTGTGTCGCGTGCGGACTGGGATGATCTAACAGCGACGATCACAACAGTGATATCTCGTGCTGAGAGTCCGAGGTCGGCTTCCACAGAAAAGCAGAAGTTGCGTACGTTCACGGAGGTGAACGATGATAGCGAGTTACAGGCAGAAGGGGTCTCAAGTCCTTCTGAAGGTGCGGATCTGATGTCGAGCAGGTAGCTTTAGCAGGACAAGGAGTTCAAGGTAAAACCCAGTAGGATTAAAGTAAGGAACATCTACTTTAATCTGTCGACCTTATATAAGGCTACTCTATCGTATCTAAGCTCAGCCTGAAGCTGGGTTCTAATCTGCTTATCTATCGAGTCAGAGATACCATGCATGAGGCAGGTCTTCTATCTATGATAAGGACCGCGAGGCGTCCTTCTATCAGTACATGAGGCAACACGAGGCTTGCCTTCTATCTTGATAACATATATAGGTCTTCTAGACCTATGTCGTCATATCATGTAAGCGATCCAGATCGCTTACCTAATCCGGCATCTTCCGGACTTCTCTTCTATTTCGTCATCTGTTCGTTATTAATCATCAAGGCCCAAGGGCCCGGGTATCGTATCGTATCGTTGCCATGCGAGGTGGCAGAGGGCAGGTCGTGTAGCTGGGGGCTCACGTAGTCACTGTAACATTACCCCATTACTACGCACAAAGTCACCGGCTTTGTATATCATCAAACGTCTTCTTCCATCGTAGCGGCGGGTAGTGCAGGAATTGCTATCGTGGATGTAGAAGGTGCTGAGGGAGTTTCAGAGGCAGGGGAAAGTTCAGTGGGATGCTGAAGTTCAAGATCCGCGAGTGCCTTGTGGTTGTGCTCCCAATCTAAGAGAGCTTCGAAAAACTTCTCTTCATCGCTAAACTCTTGGAGTACGATGCGTCCGTTGAGTCGCGGGCAGTGGACCGACAGATGGTCGGGTCCTAGTTCATCGCAGATGCAACAAACATAATCTGGGCATCTTCTGAACTGATGTCCGTATCCTCCGCAGCGCCTGCAGAGCGTCTTACGGGTTCGATCTATGGTAGCCGCTTTTCTTCTCGGCGGGCGTACCGGGCGGGGTTCTTCTACAAGAGGCTTCACTTCAACTTTCTTTATCGCTAGGTCGGTGATATCGGAGAAGTCGAGGGGGAGTAAGTGAAGTGCGAAGTTTCTGATCCGCCGTTGCAGATGAAGTACAGCAAGTCTCCGAGTTGCTTCATCAAGGTCAACACGATTGGCTACGTCTTCCAGCAGCTTCGTGGTTCGTATAATGCAGACGGTGAGGGAAGTACTCGCTGCAGTTCTGGCGTCTTGGTCACCAAGGATTTCGTCGATCGCTTGGGAGTACGCGGGGGTCAAGATAGCGGCTTCGTTGAACGCGCTATTTTCTGTCATTCTGAGGACTACTCCGTAGTCGGAGTCCTTCAGTGCATTCTTGATAGAGGCGTTGTCGATGGAGTTCGTCATGATGATGGAGGTTCGTTTGGAGAGATGTTCGAGGATCGAGAGGGTTTATAACCTTCTTCCAGATCAATCCAAGCTCCGATTCAATCTAGACTTATCTTTATCGTTATCTCTTATCGTTTTATCTAGCCATGAGGCTAACTCGTGTTCGAGATTCTTCTTCGCTATCAGAGGGAAAGTGCCGTGATAGGTACTATCGTCCTTTATCTTTTTGTTGAAAGATCAGGTCGTCATCAGAGGGTGGTCGTCATTGCCATGATGGGTTCTAGAGGGTTCCAAGGGCTTGCAGGAGTTTCCGTGGAGTTCGTCTCGTGATAGTTTAGCCTCGTTCCGGAGGTAGGATCCGAGCGTGGGTGCCAAGGCTTGCAGGAGTTTCTTGGGGTCGTCCAGCGGGGAGGTCGTCTTCTATTACCCTTTGTTTTATATATGAACTGCTCGGGTGGTCGAAGTGCAGTGATGAGAGGGGTCCCGAAGCTTGCAGGAGTTTTCCGGGGTTCGTCCTTGTTCATCGTCTAGTTTTAAGTCATTACGGACAATCGTAGTTTAGAGTCTTTCCGGACTATATCTAGTTTAGGGTCATTACGGACCTTTCTAGTTTTAGGTCGTTCCGGACCAATGTAGGAGTTGGTCGAGTTCAGGATTCGGTGATCAGTGTTCGGGGTGGAGTAGGCGTGGAAAATAAGTAAAATAGAGGATTTCACCCCCTTACTAAGCCATTAGTCACCGACTAATCAAATCCAATCAGAAGTCTAGGCCAGGGAGCGGGCCGTCGTCTTCGAAGTCGTTTCCTTCTAAATCTACCATTCGCAGATCATGCGAAGAGGGTGCGTCTGTGTCTTCATCCTCGTCATCCTCGGAGTTTTCCATGTCAATAAATCTGACAAAACTCGGCTCGGCGTCTTCTTCTTCCTTTTTCATTTCATTTCGACGATTCGCTTCATGGATCGATGCGATTCGTTCGATGAAAATATCCTGGGCTTCTTGTAACACAGGAGGGAGTTCGGTATCAGAAGATAGCGTCATTGCTTCTTCGGAATTATGCGCGGGTGTCATAGAGAGGTTGAGGGAATTCGGCGGTTCATCGGCGGTTAAATATGCCGGTTCGGGGTCTTCCTCCATTGCGGACTCAGGACTTTCATAGAATCTGAGTTTCTTGGCTGTGGGAGGGTCTTCGATTCGGACTGCTCGTCCTTTTCCGAGAACGGATATCGGTTCTCCAGAAAATTCGAATCTCTGAGTTTTTTCTGGTTCAGGGGCCAGTCTGGGCGCCTTGGATACAGGCGGTTCTTCATTCATTATCGCACGTCCCTTCCCAAGGACTTGTGCGGGCTCTGCCGAGAATTCATATCGGGCAGGTGCGGGATCTTCTTCAATCTTCATCGGCTGAACAGCCGGTACAATCTTCTTCGTTCGTGGCAGTTCGGGATAAATGTGGTCAGATATCAGCGCCGGTCTGGAAGTCTTCTTCTGAGTTGTCTCCGGATCAGTGGCCGGTCTTTTCTGTTCATATCTTCTTGCTGCAAGGTCTATTCTTGGCAGCGAATCTTTCTTCGTCACAGTTTTCGTGGGCTGTGGTACGGTTTCTGAAGTTTCAACGGGGTTTCCGTCCTGCGGCTCTTCGTGGACCGGTGCAATTCGTGTCGTTCGGGCTAGTGGTACTGTGCCCGAGGAGAAGGTACGGGGAGTTGTCGGGGATACCGATCGTTTTCTCTTCTGTGTCACCTTCTTTTCCTCTTTTAGGAAGAGGGGCGCCTTGCCGTTCTTCTTCCGATCAGAATCTATTTCTTTTTCCTTCTTTCGGGAATCTGCGGTACTTCTTAGGGTCACCGCGCCGGTTTTCCAATTGATGGCGGGGTTCTGGCTTGTGAGCCAAGGTCGTCCCAGCAGGAACTTGTCTTTCGGACCAAGTTCGGCTAGGTAAAACCTTTCGGTCATTACCCGTTCGTCTATCTGGAATGTAAGGTTGCAAAACCTTTCTATCGGCTTCGTTCCGAAGCAGGATCCGTCAGCGTTCGAGAATCTTAAAGGGTTCTCTAGCTGGTGCGTCGAGATGCGGTGTTGTGTGATTATGTCCTGGTTGACAAAGGACTCACACGCCCCAGAATCTACGATCATAGATGTCGCGATGGGGTTGCTTCTCGTTCTGGAGATCAGGGTGGCGTTCACCCGTATGTCCTCCTTAGCCCCGGCTTTCTTGATAGCGCGCAGGGGTTCTTCTTCGATCATCTTTCTCCGTGAGGTTCGGGTCCATTGCGGACAGCTCGCGGCTTTGTGTCCGATGACGTGGCACACAAAACATTTCTTTTCTCGCAAACAAAGGCGAGTCTCCTTCCCGGTCAGATGCGAGGCGGCGAAGGTGTTTCTGGTAGTTGCCATATTGGAGATGGGTTCTACGATCTTCGTGGTATCCTTTTCTTGGAGCTTTCCACAGTGACGGCGGTTCTTATATTCTTGCGACTGGTCAGGCCGGTACGATCAGGGTTCTAAATCAGGGATATGAAAATCCTTTCGGGATCTAGGTTCGGGGTTCTACGAGTGTCGGTAGCGTTGACAACAAGTGCGATCAGTTATCTTGTAGCCTGTGATGGAGGCGTACAGTAAAGGGACTTTAATCCTTTGTTACGACGTGTGTCGCGTGCGGACTGGGATGATCTAACAGCGACGATCACAACAGTGATATCTCGTGCTGAGAGTCCGAGGTCGGCTTCCACAGAAAAGCAGAAGTTGCGTACGTTCACGGAGGTGAACGATGATAGCGAGTTACAGGCAGAAGGGGTCTCAAGTCCTTCTGAAGGTGCGGATCTGATGTCGAGCAGGTAGCTTTAGCAGGACAAGGAGTTCAAGGTAAAACCCAGTAGGATTAAAGTAAGGAACATCTACTTTAATCTGTCGACCTTATATAAGGCTACTCTATCGTATCTAAGCTCAGCCTGAAGCTGGGTTCTAATCTGCTTATCTATCGAGTCAGAGATACCATGCATGAGGCAGGTCTTCTATCTATGATAAGGACCGCGAGGCGTCCTTCTATCAGTACATGAGGCAACACGAGGCTTGCCTTCTATCTTGATAACATATATAGGTCTTCTAGACCTATGTCGTCATATCATGTAAGCGATCCAGATCGCTTACCTAATCCGGCATCTTCCGGACTTCTCTTCTATTTCGTCATCTGTTCGTTATTAATCATCAAGGCCCAAGGGCCCGGGTATCGTATCGTATCGTTGCCATGCGAGGTGGCAGAGGGCAGGTCGTGTAGCTGGGGGCTCACGTAGTCACTGTAACAGGCGCCGCATTACGCCATCGATCAACACATATGCTGACCGGTTCAGATGAATCACCTGATTCAGGTTCCTCAATCCAAGGATCGTCAGGATCACGGATGGTTGCTGCTGTTGCGGCAGAGCGAGACCTCGACTGCTGGTTGCGTGCATTGCTGACCTCATCGGCGAACATGTCAACATAAGGCTCACTAAGCCAAATGGAGGATGTTCCTGATCGGGGGTCCAGGTGCTCCACTCCATGATGAACTGCTGGATTGACAAGTTTGGCTGAATTGTTGCCGTCACAGGCACAGATGATAGAATATCGTAAAGGCGGTTCCTGTTGAAGTGTGTACTGGCATGCTGGGCATGAATTTAGCATGTGCCAGTTGGGTGTATCACGACCAAGGTGCTTGTCAAGATGAGCAGTGATCTGTCATTGAAGCTCGAGATAAACATCAAAGGCAGCACGGAGTTGCTCAGCAAAATAATGTCTATAGCATACCTTGAATATACATCAATTTTGTGAGATTATGTTGAAGGCGACAGCACTTACATTATGCAGATGACACAGTTTTTTGGCTTCAGCGTGGATGCTGAGACGAGGGCACACATGGTGTGTTTGTCGGTAGACAGCAAGGGTCCGAATTGTAATGGTGACACTGGGCTTCACCGGCGATGAACCAATGCATCCATAGCGAAGTAAGGTTACATTGGGAAAGATAGACTCGTGTTTGAATCTGCGGATGGTTCAGCCTAGAGCAGTGACCATCAGTAAAGCAATGTAAAAGTAGTGTCATGTAATTACTCACTGAAGATGTCCACTACTTCAATTTCAAACACGTCATGATCTGAATCATCAACCTCAGGAAATTCTATGCTGTCATGCTGGTATGCGAGTAGTGTGTTTGCAAGTATGTCGTATTGATCGCTCCATGCAGAAAGCTGTTGGGCAATACACAGGCTGCGATCGTGAGTATCAACAGGTCTGGGAATAGAACTTAAGGAAGAAAGCACAGAAGCACACAGTAATGTACTTGATGTGCGCATGGGAGACCTGCTTGAGCTCTGAATAGAGAGCATGTTCCTCACCCCAATGGCTGACAGCAAACCCTTCTTCACCGGGTGGAGGGAACACTGCATCAATATCGATGACGCCACTATCCATACAAGTGTCCATATTGGCATGCGAGGGTGCTTGAGATGTAGCAAGAGACTCAGAAGCTAAAAGTTGCTCTCGCTCGTGCAGAGGCAACTCTACGTGATGATCAGCTGCATTAAACGAAAGAATGTTGAAGCATACTTTTTAGTAGTTCTGCATGAAATAACTTTGCTTGGTCTTCACGCTGCCGAATGCTGCCTGCTCACAGGGTCTTGGCCTTACTACCACCGACTTGCACGATGCACTGACAGGATATACCACCCAATGAATTCCGTGAGGACCTGACCATGAGATGTGGTTGGAGATGGCAGTGGCGACTAGAAGGGAAGTACGAGCACTGCCAGTTCGCCAAGCCAAACGAATGCTAATAGAGTGATCAAAGGGATGGTACTGATGATTAACGGGCTCCTGGCACTATAGAATTGTTAGAAATACATTAGGAAGACAACAGATAGGAAGAACGAGAATAACAGACAGGAAATAACAGAGTCTAAGTGTCACAGAGGGTGTTCAGATAACGACGGCGGATAGGATGGACCAGAGGGTAGACAGAGCACTGTGATGGGCTACAGGGTACGCAGCAAGCAATGCACAAAAATATGCAGAAGTGATGACTACTGAAGGAGCTGTTGAGCTCGCTGTCATGGACAGTGAGGGCAGGTGAAACAGGAGCGCGGGAATGTTGATTAGCACCAACAAACGATAAACAAACATAGCATGCGAGAATAGTAAATAGCCTGAGCGGTAAAGTCATGGTTTTTGGCTGGTATCAACTGCCGGTGCTCAGTGTGAACGAGATTTTAGCTTACTAAAGGGGACATATATGTCCCGTTTGGCCTCTTTACTAAGAAGGAAATATGGGAAGTATAGGTGGCCGAGCGTGATCCCATAGTCTGACATACCCTTTAGATACCTCATCACTCTTTTGGTAGCCTCCCAATGTGCGGGCCCTGGGTTGTGCATGAACTGAGATAGGATGGAGACCGCGAATGTGATGTCCGGGCGCGTGCTGGTAGCAGCATACATGAGCGAGCCGATACCACGCTGGTAAGGGACGTTCTCCATAGCTTTGGCTTGAGCATGAGTAGAGGGAGAGTCTGAGTCTGAGAGTGCTGCACCCGTATCCATGGGTGTGGCAGCAGTGTTAGCGTTAGTGAGGTTGAAACGTTCCAGGATGGTTTCGACGTAAGCTTTCTGAGAGAGCCTGATGGTGCGCGCAGCACGGTTTCATTCTACCTTTAGACCCAGTAACCAATTCAATTCACCTAAGTCCGATATCTCAAAGTACTGCATGAGATCGTCCTTGAACTTGATGATATGGTGCAAGTGCTTCGATGTAACGGCCATGTCGTCGACGGAGACAGTCACGACAGTGTGCTCGTCTTGGGCATGTCGATAGAATACGGCCTGGTCGACTTGGGAATGGGTAAACTCCATCTTGGCGAATGCAGATGCTAACTCCTCAGACCACTCATAGCCCGCCTGTTTCAGGCCGGGCAGACTCCTCCGCAGCTTCAAGACCTTGCCTTCATCACCACTCTTCAAGTATCCAGGTGGGGGGCACATGTAAATGTCCTCTTTCAGCTCAGCGTACAAATACGCACTCTTAATGTCCACTTGGTGGACTTCCCAGTCGAGTTTGGCCGCCATGGTGAGTACGGCTCTTATTGTTGTCATGTTGGAGGTTGGCGTGAAAGTGTCGAAATAATCAACGCCGAATTTCTGACGCTGTCCGTTCGCCACCAGTCGTGCATGGAGCTTTAACTTCTCTCTGTTTGGTCCATGCTTTGTTGCCAACATATTTATGTATAATACAGGTCGAAGATTTTATTAAAAATATGTAGGATACATAGTAGACTACCTAAGGAACCTATGCTACATACTGCCCTGAGAGTAGAGGATAGGTGGAAAGAATGTAGTGTAGATATGAGTTGACCTAGTATTAAAGTCCTACCACTGCTTAACTGACCATTTTCGATGTTTTGAGCATTTGAACTTTCCCACACTCAGTTTCTTATCTACTTCACTTCCACAACCCTCAGTTCTGGGTGGATCTTTCTGTAAATTAGGGTCTATGATATTGAATATATTTAAAAGGTGCTCCAGGTGTCTGATCATTAAAAATTGATAAGTTGAACATATGGGCCTCTAATCAGTAAAAATGTCCCCTTTACATCAGATCTCAAACTTCCGCCCTATATGTAGCTGATCTTGGTCATAAAAAGCAAGTATATATGCTACACTAATTGTATATGAGCAGGTTGGATCATCTGTGCAAGGGTAAGATACTGAAAAACATCAAAAACATTAAAAATGTGATTTTCTATGTTTTTGTTCCTGTAGAAGTATCCTGTTGGTGTAATGAGCTATATATATGATATATATACTCCAAATATGAATAAAAATAGACCCCCTACCATACTTGAGGTCCAGTACTGCAGGAAAAATTTTCACAGGGGGTGAACCACCAGGAGAGGGGAGATATACAACACAACAAGGTCTTGTCCTATGGTCCTGGGCTCCTGATGCATTGTTCCTACTGTTAAATAGATGCTGGGGATCATTTTTTGAAGTCTATCCACCTGGAAATACTAAAATGAGAACATATTTTGTATTTTCTCATATATATGCTATATCTATTGATGCAGAAGGCTCCAGGAGGTAAAATAAAGATGGGAATCTCTTCATGTATACTCCTAAACATGTTCTGAATAACCTGTGACACTTCCCTACCATAGGGGCAAAAATGCGAAAGTATTCTGTATCCTATTATATGTTAAATGGTCTCTGGAGGAGGAGCAGGTACATAAATGAGCAAAAAAAGTGGTCAATTATATTATATTATACATATATATTCCAAACTACTACTTATATATGAAGGGGGACCTGTTGTGGTGTAGTGGTGAAGCTGCAGTGAGGTGGGGAGGGTGTGGGAATAATTGATATTGTGGAGATTCCAAAAATGGTCGATGTTTTGGGCGTTGCGGGGTAATTCCCACACTGTGGGGCTAAAAATGCGGTCACATTGGATAATCTGTTTGAGCAGTGATTTGTAAGCTGGCAAGTGCCCAAAGCTTCTATAAATAATTCTCCTCAAGGATACATCCTGTTGGATAATTGGATAGTTATAGGTAAGTATGTATCAGTATTTATGGACTGTTGTCCATTCAAGATGTATTCCTATAGCGCTATGGGCTGGCTGATTGGGCTGCCAGTGTGGCTATCTCCCCCTCATTTAGCACCGAGTAGTACCCTGGAGGTGGCCGCATCCTTGTGGCTCTAGGCACCGGTGGCGTCTCTTGTTGGTGGGAGGCTCTTGGTGGGGTAGATGGGGGTTGTGGTGCTGGTGTCTGGCCGCTAGGAAGCTGAGGTTGGGCAGGTCTGGTAGGAAGCTGAGGTTGGGCAGGTCTGGACTCCCCCTCGGCCGGTACATCAGCAGCAACTTCAACAGCAACAGGTGGGAAGGTAACATTACGTTCCACTGACACCTTGTGCCACCCAGCCCAGTAAACACGATAACCCTTGCTCTGGGCGTCAACGCCCACGAAGATCGCCTCTCCTGCCTTCGGGTCTAACTTGCCCACCTCCCCATCATGCACATAGCATGGCGTCCCAAACTCCTTCGCCAATGACAAGTCTGGCTTTGCACCATGGATCAGGGAGTACGGGGTGTGTCCTGGGATCGCCTTAGATGGTAAGCGGTTCTTGAGCCATGTTGTATAACTTATGGCCTCTGCCCACAGATATTTTGGCAGGCTGCGTGCGATGAGCATGGCGCGTGCGTGTTCCACCAAGGTGCGATTCAGTCTCTCTGCGACTCCATTCTGCTGAGGAGAATCGTGGACAGTCAACTCCCGTTTGGTCCCACCCTCCTTCAACAATGCCTCGAATTCAGCACTAAGGTATTCGCCACCTCTATCTGAGCGCAGCATTTTGACGCAGATGTTATGTTGGGTGGTGAGTCTGGCTTGATACTGGTGATACGCGTCAATGGCGTCACTCTTGTGTTTCAGGAACATTACGACTGTCTCGTGGGAATAGTCATCAGTGAAGGTCATGTAATAACATGCGCCTCCGAGACTCTCGTTCTGGGCCGGGCCCCAAAGATCGGTATGTATGACTTCACCATATCCTTTGGCCCTCCTGTTGGTCTCCTTGGGAAAAGGGATGCACGCTGACTTTGCTTTGACACAGGTATCACAGAACTCCGGATCAGTGGTCACGTCCACCTCCAAACCCTCCACAAGACCCTCCTTCACAAGATGCTTCACGGCTGGCTGGGCAATGTGGCCTAGTATGCGATGGGCTTTGTATAGCGTAAGTTTTCCTTTCGCTACGTTCGCGCGCTCCTGTTGACGCGTTTTAACACTGTAGAGGCCATCCACTTGCAGGATTTCCGCAATGAGCTTTCGTTTGGGGCCAGGTGAGAGTATCTTGCACATATTCCCTTCAAAATGGACCGCTAACCCTGCAGCAGTGATTCTATTGGTGGATATGAGTGTAAACGCCATGTTGGGCGCGTAGAGGACGCTTTTCAGCGTCACAGAGGTGCATGTGGCTCCCAGTGGTAAGTCTATTTGGACATCCCCGTGTCCTATAGCACTGACGGTTGATCCATCAGCGGTGTGTATGTCCTGCGGTGGGATGGAGACAAAATTGGAGAATTTGGTACAGTCTGGGCAGAAATGTGAGGTAGCGCCAGAGTCCATGATGGCTCTGTGCCGGCTTACAGGTACGTTGAGATCCTTTGCTATAGCAGCTAAGTCTGACGTTGCGAATGCATATTCATCCTGCGCGCTGGCCTGTTTGGCAGCATTAGCACCTTCCTTTGGACCGCGTCCTCCCTTCCTTTGGTTCTGCCTGGGACCCTGTCCCTCCTTCCCACCTCCCTTCCTCCAACAATCCTGCTTATAATGACCCTTGCGGTCGCAATTAAAGCAGGTGATGTCTGGACTGGCCGTGGTGGAGTTGCTCGAGGCATGAGGTTTGTTGTTCATTGACCTCGCTGCTAGGGCAGAGTTTCCTCCCTTCTTAGCGGGACGACGTTTGGTGAGCATTCTATGCTCATATTCCTCGCTGATGACGCTGATGAGTTCGTAGGGGGTACTGTGTGACTCTTGCTGCTGTGTTTATCGACGACAGCAGCGGCCTATAGGATTCTGGGAGGGAGCCAATGATAATGGCGTAGAAGTCGCGATCCTTGACATCTGCGCCCATTCTGGCCAATGATTCGCGCAAGCGTAGGAGCTTGCTCAGGTGAGACTTCGCATCCCCACCCTCTTCACATCATAGATCCTGGAGTCGGCATCTCAGGTCTATTTGGACGAGTTCAGTCTTTCCTTCGTGGATATCCCGAATCTCCTCCCATATCAGTGCAGCACCCTCGAGCTTCTGCACGCGCAGTCACAGTCGATCCTGTTACAAACTAGGGTAGTTCTAACAACAGCGACTCGACAGAGTTTCTAGCTGTTGAGTTTCGTGAAGTCCTTCAGAAAAGAAGGGGTTCTGTAAAGACTTAGTCAAAGGAGTGCTTCGACTAAGAATGCTAGTTCAGACGACTTAAGATTGGAGGTCTTAAGTGAAGGAAGTTCTGGTAAAACCTAGTAAGATTCAAGTGAAGTTCTACAAGGCTAATACACGTGCTTAAATAAGTCAATATGTGCGCACGGACCAAGGTAGTCGTGAGATATAAGTACATAGTTCAAGAAAGGTAAGTGATTATAAATGAAAAGCGTACTATTGGACAAAGAGAAC